TCATGTACCATGCAGCTACAACAAAATGTACAATAAATACAAAACCTACTTCTAAACTAGCTTGTTGTACAATACGAACAATAGAAGGGTAGATTTAAGCGGCGATGAAGGTGAGTTTGCAACTACGTTACAGATTTCTAATGGCAAACCTACTACCTACTGATTGCAATTTTCGTCAATAATTGTCTGTGGTTTACAACCGATTTTTTAACTTATAGTTTGTAGCTTATATTTGCTGCCAGGGGTAGGTAAAATTAGAGAATGTTGTCAATTTTTGTCAGAAACCGCTGTTTCATTAACTCTTATGGTGTTTGTTACCATTACAAAAACCCCTCCGTAACTAATTCTTTTGATAAACTGGTCTAATTTTTTTTTTTCAAAAGTTAACGACACATCTACCGCTGTGTTTTATTATAGCCAGTAGTGGGTTTAACAAACACTTCACACTGTCATTTGCTCTCACACTGTCATAGTCCAACGATAGGTACTCCAAAAATGATTAAACAAAAATCAGCCTTTGCCCAGCACCTGGTCGACTCAAATCACTCAATGAGCAGCATTGACGAAGATTTAGAAATTTTACATGTCTGTGACGAAGGTAGTAAACTTGACACCTTGGAGGAGTTCGAGATTTATAAAATTTATAATGATGAACAGTGTAAGGACCACATCCTTAACGAAAAATTACAGTTCCGGTCTCACTTGATTTTCAATACAATCATTAACTAAAGAACAGCTGATCGAAGATCTGAAGCCTCGTTCACACATGGCGATTTGTCTGCGGAAACATTGTCTGACTGTCTCTGGAGTGTTGCCATTTGTCTAGCGATGTCTCCAGTAAGTAGGCCGACTGCCGGCAGACAAATTTCAATGTTTCTGGAGACAAAATACAGTGTTTTCTGTTTGCCGTTCGAAAGGGAAACATGGAGACAAGAGACAAAAAACTTTTATCTCAAGTCTGCATGTGTGGACGTGTCTGGAGACAGGAGACTGGATACAAGCCAAAGGTTTTCAACATTCAGCCCATTTAGTTAGACCTCAAAGCGGTAATATTACAATTTTTGGACGGTAATAAAAGAGCTGGATTGAATTTCTTGAAAGTTTTGGAATTAGTTTTCAATTACTTATAAAAATCATAGTCAGTTAATTGACATTTTATTGAATTGTTCATTTCTTCAAGTTTGAAATCCTAGGACCAACAAAGCCCAGCAAAATTTCAAATTCTTTAGAAGTCAACCTCGTGAAGTTCCTAAATCCTCCACCTAATCTGAAGGTCTGATAGAAGTGATAGAAGATTGTGGCCATAGTTGGTACGAACCTTGATCGATAAAATGTTGGGTCCATCATCGTCTCTTCCTAGATTCATTAGGCACATGGTTCAGAAAAATGAAGCCCGCACAGGATATAATTATGTCCTCCTTGGTCACCGTACCAAGAAACATGGAAACACTGTCTGGCTAGTGTGGACGCAAAACACATCGGAAACTTATATCCGAAACTGTGTTGACAGACTGTCTGTTGACTGTCTGCGCACGGTCGGCCGACTCAGTCTCCATGTGTGGACTAGGCTTGATAACATCAGTGATAATAGTAGAGGAGACTTTGTGACGTAGACCTCCAGTCTGCTACCAACTCCGCACGGCGCCAGACCAAATCAGTATCATGATGTTATTAGCAGTATCTAAATGTTTATTGTGTAACCGTTTTAATCTTTTTTGTGTACGCGTCGTCCGTGTTTTAAATGTGTTTTTGACAAGTTGCAAGTTTGGAAAATGTTGTCTTCGCAACAAAACATGTAAGCATGATGAGCAATTAATTATTAGACTATTTGACGGAGGTGCACCTATGTAAAAAACACATTATTGTCGAAAGAACTGAAATTCCACCCCTATAGAATCATGGTGGTCCAGAAGATTCCCCAACATAGCATCATAGGCAACATAGTTTAAGGCTTCAGTTTAGCCAACGGATGTTGGAGTTGGTGGAAGATGAAAACCTGATTAAATCCTGATGTCTGACGAGGCTCACTTTCACATTAACGGCTACATTAACAAGCAAAATTGCCGTTACTGTAGGTAGGTAGGGATAATTGGGCCTTAGTTTTTTTTTATGAAAGGGAGCAGGCGGTTATTGTTAATTCGCAGCGTTATGTACGAACATCATGATTGTAGAATTTCTTTTCCCACAAGAGAACAATTACGACATGGATATTATGTGGTTCCAACAAGACAGGGCAACTGCACATACCGCTAGGATATCAATGCAAGCTGTTCCCTGGACGTTTGATTTCCCCTAATAGAGATTTCCATTGGCCCCCTCACTCACTGGACCTCACGGTATGTGACTTTTTCTTTAGGTTTGGGGTGTATCGGTACACTTCCCCCTTGATCTGGGGTAGGAGTACACCCCCCTTATTGTAACTTTCAACTGCATATTACTTGATGTTGAGAGTAGATTGTAGAGGGGAAAATTAGCTTGCTTTTGATTTTTTATTTATCAAAATATCTCAAATGGTTCATGAGTTAAAAACTTGTGTATGAACCTCCACCAGGGAAAACAGAAACCCCCAGCTTTATTAGAAATTCTAAAGAAGAAAAAAAACCTCTATAATAGCTTAATTAAAATATCTTAATAGCGTAGGCCTACTTAGTTAAGAGATTTTTCGTAAACCTCCGATTGGTAAAGTAACTTAAGTTTTTTCTTGTCAGTCAAGCAAGAAACAACAAAGATTTCTTTAGTAATACTTGTCCCATGAGAAAAAATACACTTGCCCCATAGGAAAAGGTACACTTGCCCCTAACGTGTTTTCACACCGGGTAAGTTTACGCCCCCCCCCCTAACTCCCCAAAATTGACTTTTTATGGCTATAACAATGTTATTTTTCAATTCCCCCTAAAAAATAGGTAAGATAACCAAATTTCAGTTAGCCTAAACTCATAGAAATCATAACAAGAGAATTTTTATTGATCACACGGTAATTAAAAAGAGCATAGGCCTAGTTTGAAATAGGCCTACCTTTGGCCAAGTTTTCCAATTTTTTTACTAATAAACAAATTTATTATTAAGTTAGCTGGAAGTCCGCTTGCCTCGTGGGCGTACACTTACCCCATTTGACCTTATCCCAGATTTAACTAATTTACTAATGATGAAGATATTTTAGTGTAGCCTATCACAATTTTTATTTGAAAATTTAATTGTATGGAAAAATTTGGTTTTGACGACCAACCTCTTTCTTACTAACCTTCTAACTTATAACTTATGTATTAAGTTTTTTTAAAGATAAATAGATATTAACATTTTTTTATAGAGATTTTCATCCCGGGAGTAAAATTATATAAGTAGGTAGGCCTAGGTAGTTTGCTATGGGGGTAATTATTTAGTATTAGGTGCCTCCGAACAAATGTTTAATTTTAATGTGTGTATATACTTAGGCCTAGGCTTTAGTTTTTTACCTCCTGAATCCAAATAAGTAGGCCTATAGGCTACCATCATTTTTCACCGCTGATGAATATTTCTCAAGATATAACCGTAAAAATATAAGTCGGTACAACATTACAAAACAAGGTAGGGTGGACGACATTTATTTACAAGTGGAATGAACTGTGGGTGAAGTAACCAAAAGCTGATTGTTCTCAATCATAGTCAAGCAAATGGAAGTGACAACTTTATTAGCTAGCCTATAACTCTGATTCAGCAATTTGAAAATCACCTTGGATTAACCCTTCACTTTTCACAAGACCAATAAGTTAGGTAACACATTTAATATAGGGCCTAAGCCTAATTTATTAACTTATTGTTACCAGTTTTTTTTTATTCTTATTAACTTATGGTTTATTTGCCGTTTAGAAATTACATAATAAAATGGTGCTGTTCTAACATAACCTAACCGAACCAAACCTCTAGAACGTTGGCAAACTCCTTTGATGTCAGATAAGGCATGTCAGGGTGGTTGGCCGTGCTTTAGGCGAATTCGTGACTGCATTGAGTCAGTTGAAGGTAGGGCCTAGGTTAGATGAGGTAAGTTAGGCTACCTTAAGTTAAAGTTTAGGTTAGCCTATAATAAAAACTAGCCTAAGTTACAACTGGATTTTTCTAGTCTAATTTCAAGGGTACACTTAGTGGCTGACGTGCAACAGGACAAGGTCCGCCCCTACAGAATCAATCAATCAATCAATCAAGGGTACACTTTCTTAACTGGGCTATGCTAATATCGATTGAAACTACTGATTCGATAAGTAAACCTTCATGAGATTTTTTCACTATCAGTAAGTTTGGTTGGTTAGGTTAGGTTATGATAGTTTAATTTAATAATAAGTTAGATAGCCTATATTTAAAAATATTGATATTAGGCCTAATGAATATTTTCAATTCGATAGTTTCAATCGATATTAGCATAGCCCAGTTAAGAAAGTGTACCCAATTTCAACACGACAAGTTAACCAAGCCTATTTATTTCATGAGGACAGATTACGCTAACTAACTTGGGCTTAAGTTACGTTACAGTAACTCAATGTTGGATTTCTTAGAGTGTTTAAGTAACAATCTAGGACCAGTTGAGCAATAAGTTAGCATAGGCCTAGGCCTAGTCTAAGGATAAAAACCTTCTATGTTAGGCCTAAGACATCCTAAAAGGGCCAAGTTATTCAGGGTTAACTTATGATTTATTAGATTTAGGCCTAGCCTAGTCTATAGCCTAACTTATATGTTAACACTTTTGAGTAATGCTTTTGAACATTTGGGCTGTTTTAAAACGAGTTGATAACATTTTTCTACAAGGAGGCTGACATTTTGGAAAATTTTGGTTCAATCCTCCCGAAGACCTAAATGTAAGTTAAAACAATTTTTTTTCAATTTTCAGAATCATATTGATGTTATCCAATACTCATACTACTGGTATCACTAAATAATAAAATTTAAGCAGTCATAGCAGCCATATTTGAACCAATTTTATTCCTAACCAACGTCATTTCTACTGAGCTCTGCTGAGTAACTGCACTTACTACTTATTTTCATGCCCCCTAATGGAGGATTGGGAGGTTGCTTGTTACCCTCTGCAAAGGACGTAGTTCTAGGACGTCCACTCATTTCTATCTGCGCTGATTTATTTCATAGATGTTCATGAAATTCTAACATTTATCACATTTCTTGCTAACACCCTTGCGAATGAAATATCGGACAGGGGCTGGTAGGCCTGCGTAGGTCCTCCTTACAAATTGGGTTTTCTACGCTCGAACTTCATTAACCACCACTAATCCACCACGAACACCGATAGCCTTATTATATCACTCACGAGATCGTCCTAAAACACATTTATCGAATTTTAAAACTATAAATCCGCTAACAAAAGCCACCCATTTCTCACATCACCATCACCACAAAATTTTCGATGCTTCAGCATTGACCCGTTCGGGTAACTTCGTATCCAATCATATTCACTTGGGTTTCCCGAAGACACACGAATGTGACGTAGCTTGCAACCTTTTACGTCATTATGCATGGCGATATACCCAGAATACCTCAGTGAGTGGTATAACTAGAGACCTAGAGCAGTGTTGCCGATTAGTGCATATTCTGGATGCAAAAGATATTACATATAATTCATCAACTATTTTTAAATACCCCCGCCACAGCAAACCTGCAGACTAAGCGAATTTCCATTTGCCTGATTGGATTTGCACTAAAATGTCTACATAAAAATATAACATTTATTCCTTATTTATACAATTAGTTTACAAGTACATAGGTTTGCTGCATCAGGGATGGAAAAACTGTTTTTTGTTGTAAAATGTTAATAGTTAGAAAGGAATTAACATTTTCCAAATTTGATCAAAATATGTTCATAAACAAGCAAACTACAACAGTTTACTTATTCTCCATAAGAATAACATGGGAATTTAAAATTTTTTGGAATTTTCTCCGTAACCATTAGGCGCATAATAACGATTCAATATACTAAATTATTTGTTTTTTTAAGATCTACAAAATGGTTTGGAAAGAAATTGCTAAATTTATGTTTTTTTTATCAAAAATGGGAAAACCCTATTTTTACCCCCATAAAACCCCCCGTAAACACCCGTTCCCATAGTCCGATCATGCTGGTTCGCGAACTTGTTCAAAAATGTAGGTTTACACGTTTATACAAAATTTCATCAAAATCGGATCAATTTTGCTCAAATTATCGTGCTAACGGACATATATACAGTATAATTATATATATATATATGTGTGTGTGTGTGTGTGTGTGTGTGTGTGTGTGTGTGTGTGTGTTTAAAGTGTATTAAGTCGTTTTATCCCCTACATGGGAAATTCGATAAAACTACTTAAATTTAAAAGTAAGATGTTCCTAGCCAAATGGGTTTATTACTTATTACTGATGATTTGTCAAATACCCCCCGCTGCAGCAAACCTGCCGACTAAGTGAACTTCCATTTGTCTGAATTGATTTTCAACTAAATTTATTTTAATAACATTAGGTCATAGATAAAACATACTCCCTTAGTAGATTTCTCATCCTAATGGAACAGCTGAAGACAATTTTTGAGCGGAGCGAGCGAAGCGAGCGAAGCTCTTATACGTCGACTCTTATGCATTTCGTAATACGCAAACTCCTCCTAGACGGCTGAATCAATCGTTTTCAAATTTTGCATGGTTATAAAGACCATATCGGTGAGTGCCAACATCTATATGGCGTTAAAAAAGTCTCTCAGGAATCCGCCCCACTGGGTCTCAAAGTTTCAATGTAATCCTTATGGAAGCAGTATTTGACACATAAACAAAGACAATTGATCAGCTGTTGACTTTTGAATGCAGTGGATAAAGAAATAGCTGATAGCATTATTTCACAGATATTAGAACAGAAACGGTATGGATCATAAATATAATCAAATTACGACACTAGCTAGGGGTCCGTGCCGTATGAAGTGGTTAAGGGAGTAGTAAAGGTGAGCTGTTCGGAGTATGGAAACTGTTTATGACGATTAGATTAAGGTATCTGCATTCCTAAAATTCTATGGAAAGGGAGAGAAACAGGTTCGCGACGTAGGAAGTAGTAAAGGCGAGCAGTCTGGAGTGTGGAAACTGTTTGTGACGATGAGATTAAGGTGTCTGCAATCCTAAAATGCTACTGGAAGGGAAGGAAACAGGTCCGCGACGTATGAAGTGGTGAAGGAAGTAGTAAAGGGGAGCAGTCTGGAGTGAGGAAACTGTTTATGACAATTAGATTAAAGTATCTCCATTCCTAAAATTCTATGGGAAAGGAGGAAAACAGGTCCGCGACGTAGAAAGTGGTGAAGGAAGTAGGAAAGGCGAGCAGTCTGGAGTTTGGAAACTGTTTATGACGATTAGATTAAAGGGAATCTGCATTCCTAAAATTCTATGGAAAGGGAGGGAAACAGGTTCGCGACGTAGGAAGTGGTGAAGGACGTAGTAAAGGGGAGCAGTCTGGAGTGTGGAAACTGTTTATGACGATTAGATTAAGGTATCTGCATTCCTAAAATTCTATGGGAAGGGAGGAAAACAGGTCCGCGACGTAGAAAGTGGTGAAGGAAGTAGGAAAGGCGAACAGTCTGGAGTGTGGAAACTGTTTATGACGATGAGATTAAGGTGTCTGCAATCCTAAAATGCTACTGGAAGGGAAGGAAACAGGTCCGCGACGTATGAAGTGGTAAAGGAAGTAGAAAAGGCAAGCAGTCCGGAGTGTGGAAACTGTTTTTGACGATTCGATTAAGGTATCTGAATTCCTAAAATTCTATGGGAAGGGAGGAAAACAGGACCGCGACGTAGAAAGTGGTAAAGGAAGTAGAAAAGGCAAGCAGTCCGGAGTGTGGAAACTGTTTTTGACGATTCGATTAAGGTATCTGAATTCCTAAAATTCTATGGGAAGGGAGGGAAACAGGTCCGCGACGTATGAAGTGGTGAAGGAAGTAGTAAAGGGGAGCAGTCTGGAGTGTGGAAACTGTTTATGACGATTAGATTAAGGTATCTGCATTCCTAAAATTCTATGGGAAGGGAGGAAAACAGGTCCGCGACGTAGAAAGTGGTGAAGGAAGTAGGAAAGGCGAACAGTCTGGAGTGTGGAAACTGTTTTTGACGATTCGATTAAGGTATCTGAATTCCTAAAATTCTATGGGAAGGGAGGGAAACAGGTCCGTGATGTAGGAAGTGGTGAAGGAAGTAGTAAAGGCGAGTTGTTCGGAGTGTGGGATCTGTTTATGACGATTAGATTTAGGTATCTACAATCTTAAAATGCTATGGGAAGAGAGGGAAACAGATCCGCGACGTAGAAAGTGGTGAAGGAAGTAGGAAAGGCGAGCAGTCCGGAGTGTGGAAACTGTTATTGACGATTCGATTAAGGTATCTGAATTCCTAAAATTCTATGGGAAGGGAGGGAAACAGGTCCGTGATGAGCAGTGTGGCGTGTGGGAACTGGAAACCGTTTGTAGCAGTTTTAATGTATCTGCAATGCTGAAATGCTATGAGAAGGGATGGAAGCATGCCCACGACATAGGGAATGGTGAAAGAAGTAGTAAAGGCTAGCAGTACGGAGTGTGGGAATGTTTGTGGCAATTAGATTAACGTATCTAAAATACTAAAATGCAATGGAAAGTGATGAATACAGGTCCACGACGTAAGAAGTGGCTTAGGAAGTAGTTAAGTATGAGCATCAGCATAGTGTGAGATCCATCTGTGGCAGTTAGATTAATGTATCCTCAATCCTAATATGCTATGAGAAGGGAAGGAAACAGGCCCCACGACGTAGGATGTGGTGAAGGAAGTAGTAAAGGCTGGCAATGCAGAGTGGGGGAACCGTTTGTGCAGTTAGATAAATGTATCTGTAAAACAGGTCTATGACGTAGTAAATGGTGAAGGAAGTTGTAAGGCTAGCAGTGCAGATTGTGGGAACTTTTTTTGGCAATTACATTAATGTATCTGCAATCCTAAAATGCTATGGGAAGAGACTGTAGACTGTATGTTGAAATGATTTTGAAGCACGAATCGATACATATTTTGAATACATGCAATCGTTTACAATCGAAATTTACAACTGAGTTGACAACAGCTGATTTTTACTCCATAGAGGCTAAAAACTATTTTTACTCCCTAAAAATTAAAAATGCTACTTTAGACCCGCAACGCATGCATTAAAAACTACTGTTTTTACTGCAGTATGACAAAAACAATATATTATGAACCCTTGATGACTCCGCTCAATTTTGTGGATGCCTCTACGAACGCCACCTAGTATTGTTAGTTCTGTACGGTTTATGTAGAGGTCGTGTTTTGTTTACAATTTGTTTCCCGTTAATACAGACATTTAAAACCTCGTTTAACCAAATAATACGATCTAATCATAAACAATAAATTGTGCCCTAGTTATTTAACCAAACAGTTAAGCACAAATCAAGAAATTAACCCTAAAATAATATAAATATAAATGTTTCGTCGACACTAGCGCCTAGTGTGGCGTACATGAACTAGACATGAAAAACGAGCTTCAAAATTTACAATGGGATGAGAAGTCTACTTGTGTTGGTTAGTCTATGATTAGGTTTAACGAGTACCTGAACAAGGAAAAGGCTGAAATTGGCTGGAAAGGGCCGATACAAGGAAACTAATCAAATGTGGTTACTATGGTTGTTATTAAAATATTAATAACTTAATATAAATAAATAAATTTCCCAAGTTTTATCAGAATATACAGAAACAAGCAAACTACAACATTATTACAATTTAATCTCTATAAGAATAACATCGGAATTTTCAAAATACGATTTTTGAATTTTCTCTGCAACCAAGTGTACTAAACTATTTGTTTTTTTAGCTATTTAAAATTGTACAGAGATAAATTGGGAAATGTTGTGTTTTCAGGGTCAAAAACGAGAAAAACCTATTTTTACCCCATGAACCTCCCCGTAAAACCCAGTTCCCATGGTCCGATCATGCTGGTTCGCGAACTCATTCAAGTTTGTCCCACCTTCCCCTTACACCTTTAAACCAAATTTCATCAAAATCGCAACTGGACTTATTTATATGAAGGTGTAAATGGAGGGATTTAGAGCAATTAAAATTCCTCATATGTAGGTGCTACACTGACCCACTGACCAAGATCTGCTGTTCTTTTGTCCATTACCACACAACACAAGGTCATGTTTTGCCAAACCTCCAATGTTCTAGGCATCCAGCTAGAGGTCCTGCTTCGAACCATCGGCTTTTAAAGCCCCCCCCCCACACACTACCAGGCCAGACCGTCCGGTCTGGCGTCTGGCGCACTTGTCTTCGTGTGTGACTGATTTTCTCGGACCAGACTGTCTGCATGTCTGATGGTTATTTTTGTCTGGTCTGTGCTGTGCTGTGAGTGTGTAGTCACGTGTAGTGCCGTCTGTCAGACGTCTACTGTTTTTGACAAGTTGCAAGTTTGGAAAATGTTGTCTTCGCAACAAAACATGTAAGCATGATGAGCAATTAATTATTAGACTATTTGACGGAGGTAGGCTACCTATGTAAAAAACACATTATTGTCGAAAGAACTGAAATTCCACCCCTATAGAATCATGGTGGTCCAGAAGATTCCCCAACATAGCATCATAGGCAACATAGTTTAAGGCTTCAGTTTAGCCAACGGATGTTGGAGTTGGTGGAAGATGAAAACCTGATTAAATCCTGATGTCTGACGAGGCTCACTTTCACATTAACGGCTACATTAACAAGCAAAATTGCCGTAAGGTAAAAAACCTTCAATTATTAACGGAGGAGTAGTGTTTCGTATAAATCGCCTTCACCTATTATATATAAGGATGGTGATCTATTGTGATTTGTTGCAGCTAATGCTGCTGCCAACACACACTCACCCACTCATTTATAAATATACGGTTCATTCTAAAACAAATATTAAGATAAGAAAGGAAAATATTTTTCAATAGTAAAGTAGTTTTAGTAAAGTAGTAAAGGAGTAAAGTAGTAGTGTTAAAGTAGTATAGTAGTTTTTATATTATTATAATATTTTCATCGACGTTATTTTTTATCACCCAAAATTTTAAAGTTGGCATTATATTAATTGATAAAACTCTTATGACTGTGTCAAAAAATTACTAATAATGAGAAGAACAGTAACGCAGTAATAGCAACGCCATAATTAATTATAAGTCATCAAATTTTAAAGGTTAAACAAAATAATGATATATTATATTATAGTCAGTGACTAATAATCAATGTCATCATCTCTTTCCTTACTGACTAGTTTTGGTTTGAAGTGAAAAGAACACAGAAGATATGGAGGGAATAATGAAGAGATGTAATAATAAATAATAATATCATGTCATGTCAACCAAGAACCAATGCATGTGTCACACGCAGTTAATATTATAATCAATTCAATTTATTTGATTTTGATTTAGCACTGCAGTTAGATGTATTGTAAAGTGTAAAGTCAAGTGTTTAGTGTTTAGCCAATGGTGGTAAGTTAAATTTTTAACCTAAATGGAATGTGTGTCCACGTCTGAGACCAGTTGCAGTTTCTGGCGTTCTTTTAAATCACCTTTTGTACATTTAAAGTTTGAAGTAGTGGTGTAGTTTAATAATTCCCTATATTTTATCATCATTAGGTTAAACACGATCTCTAGGTAAGCATAGTTTTTAGCCTAGAGAGAGAGGGAGAGAGAATAACATTTAATCAAAATCGTTAAGATTTGACAGGCGTCAGGGTAATGTTATTGTTATAATAGGTGAGATTGTGTAGTGCGTGTACTTCAGGTAATAGGGTCTCCCCAGTTCATAAATTCTTTAACAGTATAGAAGGGACATTGGGAAAGCCACTGCTGCAGGTGAGATTTTACTTGGTTGGGACACACAAACTTCAGTTCTTCTGGTAGAATACCGGTATTGTAGAATCTGGCTCCGGCGTAGGAAGGTTTCACCTCGAAAAACTTCCTGTGATGAAGGGGCAGGTTGAAGTCTCCAGCATGTCTGGTGTTGTAGGAGTGAAGATGGCCATTTCTTTTGAGGCTTCTGGAGCATGCAGAGTTCACAGCTTCCAAGATGTATACGGCTACAACAGTGAGTATTCCCCAATCTCTAAAAGTCGTTCTGCAGCTATCTCGTCAATCCAACCTTGCCATTGTTCGCATGGCTCTCTTCTGGAGTAGTAGGACTCTTTCCAGATTGGCGAATGATGATCCTCCCCAGAGGGATACTCCATAGTTCATGTTACTCTCGAAGAGGGCGTGGTAAGCGACTCTTGCTGTTTCCAATGTACTGGAGGCCATGACTCTTCTAATTGTGAATAATGCGCTAGGCCTACTTAACATCATGCATAGGATATCTACATGGGGTATCCATTGGATACCCCATGTAGATATCCTATGATCCATGTAAAAGTGGAATCGATGGTCAACCCTAGATGTGTTGTAGAGCTCGTGGTGTCAAGGTTCGGCAAGCCAGGAAAGGTGTTTTTTACCAAAAGTCAGTTGCTTGGTCTTTTCTTCGTTAAACCATAGACTAAACAACACAAGTAGACTTGTCATCCCATTGTACATTTTGAAGCACGTTTTTCGTGTCTAGTTCATGTACGGTGACACTGGGTGCTAGTGTCGACAAAATTTTGTTTCTATTATTTTAGGGTTAATTTCTTGATTTGTGCTTTACTGTTAGGTTATATAACTAGGAGACAAGTTATTGTTTACGATTAGATCGTATTATTTGGTTAAACGAGGTTTTAAATTACTGTAATAACTGGAAACAAATTGTAAACAAAACACGACCTCTACATAAACCGTACAGAACTAACAATAAAATTGTCTTCAGCTGTTGCATAAGGATGAGATATCTAGGGGGAGTATGTTTTATCTATGGTTAAACATAGCCTAGGCCTAATTTTCCTATCACATTAGTTTCATTTCAAGGTGCAAAACTTCCTTGAAGTAAGGAATGAATATAGTGCTTGCCATTAAGTCTATGGATTGTCGTTTTGATTATACAAAGGATCAATACGCTACTAAGAAGATTGCCTTTTTAGGATTATGGGCTGCACTTTACGTCCTACACTCATTCGAAAGAAAATGGATATGAATACAAATTGTCATCCTTGTTAATTTATCTGTTTAACAAACTAAGTAGGCCTAAACACCAAAAAGTAGGTGTCTCTTCTTTGTAAAAATGTTACCTTATTTGTTACCTATTATCATAAGCTAAATTAAACTAAACTGAACGAAACTTATATTTCCGTCTGTCACACACATTTAAAAAATATTCTTAAAAACCTTAGGCTACAATGATACAGTCCATATTCATACAACTTAGAGTGAAAACTTTAACTCATCAGATAAAAAGTTATAAGTTATTTGATACGAGATAATTATCAAACTAATATTTAATCCAATATCAAAGGTTTTCTGCGGAACTGTAGGCCCTAATCCTAAGTCTTCGTAAAAACATCCTGTGTGCCTTCAGGACTAATTTGTTTAGGCTACCTTACTTGATTTGATCAAGAAGTGGCCCGAATAAAAATGACCATTTACCTCTTTATGTTTTGTGATTTAACAGAACTTTCCAAATGAATTGCCTCTCTTTTAAACTGTGCCATATGCAAACGTATTATGTGGTGTTTGATCTTCAATCCTAGGATCCTTTCTTTTATCTACATTTGCGCTATAAGATTATTTATTTTATTTCACCAACAAACATTTAAGTTATGTGGCCTGGTAGAATTTTTTTTCTTGATGACTGTCAGTGGCATTGCTACAGGAGAGGCAGGGCCGATTTACCGAATAGGCACAGTAGGCAGGTGCCTAGGGCACAAAGCAATTGGTTTTTTGGGGGGTGCCAAAAATTTGGAAAATAAAAAAAAATTGGTGGTTGTATTTGCATGCGATCGCGGTAAACTTCTGATAATCCCTCGCGGCCGTGTGGCAATTGTAATCGTCTCCCGCGTTCGCGGGAAAATTCTTACTATTTTCTGCGGTCGGGTCGTTTAGACATAATATTGTCTTCCATGATTGAGGCAATATATGAGCATATTCCGCGGTCGTGAGGAGATTATCATCGTCTGCTGCAAATGAGGCAAAATTCTGATCTTTTCCTGCGGTCGTGATGACAATATCCTCGGATTGCGCGATCGCGGACAAATTCTGACCACTCGCGGCCGTGAAGACATTCATTATAATTGTCCCCCTGCGGTCATGTGGACATAGTAATCGCCTCCCGCGATTGTGGTAAAATGGTTATCATCTCCCTCGGTCTTGTGGAGACCATCATCCTCTTCCGCAAATTAGGCAAAATTCTGACCTTTTCCGCGATCATGTGGCCATTATCATCGTATTCAGTGATCGCGGAAATATTCGGATCATTCGTCGCGACCGTGAAGAAATCATTATTGTATCTCCCGCGGTCCTGTAGACATCGTAACTGTCTCCCGTAGTCGTAAAGATATTGTAATCGTCTTCCGCGACTGCGGAAAAATGGTAATCATCCCCCGCGGACATATGGAGATCATCTTCTTCCGTAAATGAGGCAAAATTCTTATCTTTTCCCGTGGTCATGTGTACATTATCATAGTCTTGCGCGATCATGGCATAATTCTGATCATCCCTCGCAGCCGTGTAGAAATCATTATTGCATCTCCTGCGGTCCAGTAGACATCGTAATCGTCTCCCGCGGTCTTGAATACGTGGCAATCGTCTCCCGCGGTTGTGAATATTGCGTGATTGCGGCAAAATGTTAATCATGTCCCGCAGTTGTGTGGAGATCATCATCGTCTTACGCGATCGCGGCAAAATTCTTGCTGTTTCCCGCGGTCGTGTGGACGTTTTCATCGTCTTCTGTGATCGTGGTAATATTCTAATCATCCCTAGCGGCCGTGTGTAGACATATTATTGTCTCCCGTGGTCACAGAAACGTCACTGTTTTCTTGTGCGATCACGGTAAATTGAAAACTCCAGGTAGAAATACAAAATTCACACATAACTCCCGGTTCAAAAAACTCCCTCATAATTCCTGGATTTCCCGGTCGGTGGACACCCTGTTATATATACTGCAAAGGGGCGCTACTATTATTTATGCCTAGAGCGCTGACAGGGTCAAAAACGGTCCTGAGGAGAGGCAATATACACTCAAAAACGCTTTTAGGCTAAGCGGTCGAAATCTATATGTGCGAGGAACTTATCCCTCCCACACCAAAATCTGAGACGCTAACCACTAGACTAGCTGCAATGCAACACATCCATTTTTTTGTATACCTAAAATAAATAATCTGCCCTCTTCAGGTTGAAAGTTGAACAACTCTCCATTGACTATGAATGTACCAAATATAGAAGGACTGGGCAAACTACACCAGGCAATAACAGAGGCTCTGGAGATTGAAAAGTGCTCAATTTGGTAAGTACTTAGTGTAGCCTGGTGGCTGCTAAAGCCACGTTTACACCGGAATTAGGAACACGTATGTTTAGGTAACTAACTTAATGTTTCTTAAAAAACCGAGGAACACCACTTTTGGAATAAAAATATTTTAATATTGGAAACAGTTTTTGAGTGTTTACAACAGAAACTTTGTTTCCCACCAGAAGTCAGTCTAGTAACCATCTCGAGAGGGACTGACCTTGTGATCTCGGGAACGGTGGTTAAATTATTTGCAACAAAATCAAAGAATATTGCACTATCTGTTGTACACTTTTGTTTAAGAAACAGTGTTACAAAAAGTTCCAAACATTTTTTTCCAAACTCCGTTGTCAACGCGGCTTAAGGTGTAACTTAAATGAGTTTTACTAGCGGCTAGCCATTTCTTGCATTTATTTACACAATCCTTACTGATGTTAGGGTATACAGTTGGATATTGCAATTGGAAACAAATAGTTTAACTTTTTTTTTATTGATGCTTCTTCTGTTCAAGTTAGTGATGGGCGATACGGACGCGTATCGCGATACAGCGATACGATACGTATCGGAAAAAAATATCGTATCGCCATATTGAATCGGGCGTCTGTATCGCGATACGCGAATCGTATCGTCAAAAATATCGAAAAACGATACGTATCGTATCGTTTCCCCCCTTCCCTACCTAACCTAGAAACGGCAAATTTATATAAGTACCTGGGGACCAAGCTTTGCTCGGGAAAATCATGTACTCAGTTTAAATCAGTTTACTCTGAAAACAGTCTGAAAATAGTATTGCAGATACTCCATTTCCACACTCCACGCTGCTCGCCTCTACTCTACTACTTCCTTCACAACTCCCTACGTCTTGGACCTGTTTCCGTATCCTTCCCATAGCATTTTAGGATTGCAGATACATTAATATAATTGCCACAGACAGTTGGACAGTTCCCACACTCTGCACTGCTAGTGCTAGATACACAAAGGCGGCCGTGGCTAGATATCAGCATAGATAAAACTTAGTCTATGATATCAGGCTAGTGGAAATGGACTGGACTGGGATGGGACTGGTACATTATCAATTGAAAACAAAAAATACAGACGTCAAAAACCACTTCAAAAACTCCTATTTCAAACTACACATCCACAGAGTACAGATTTTGCAGTTTGCTCGGCCTGCGCAAAAAAGCTTTAAAATATCGTTTTCACATGAATCGTATCGCTCTATGTGCCGATATAAATACAAATATCGTTTTAGGCGATACGATACGTATCGTTTTTCAAATATCGTATCGAAATATCGTATCGTCCCTCGCGTATCGCGATATTCCGATACGATACGATACGATACGTATCGCACATCACTAGTTCAAGTTAGCCAATAGAAAATGGTTTTCAAGTTTACTTGGATTTATATGACCATATTAATTCTACAATATGATTATCCAGCTAATACATCAAGGCCTGCTGTAAATGATTTATAACATTCTGGTATTGGGTTGAAAAAAAAAAACCATTTTCATTAAGATTTTTTGTGTACTGTAATGAGTGAGTCGAGGGAAAGTTGTTCCAACTCAGAATGTTTCCCCTTTGTGTCAAGTAAAAAATCAGGGTCGCCGGAAGACTACCCCCCGGAAAACTACCCCCCCAAGCAGGTTCCTACGTCATATTGACGTCAGAGACCGGGGGGGTAGTTTTCCAGTCACGGACACTCAAATTTAGTTGTCAAACAGTTCTAATCTAACCTAACCTAACCAACCAAACTTGCTGTAACATTTCAAAAATCTGTTTTATATTCACCCTACGCATGTTCTATTGTCCAACGGAATTACTCGAATTAAAATTAAAATTACATAGCATGATTTGTCTAGGGGGGTAGTATTCCAGTCGCGGACACGGCTTCCATATTGGTTAGTTAGCAGATTTTGTGACGTCACGTTTCACCTGGGGGGGTAGTTTTCCGGGGGATAGTATTCCGCATCCCCAAAAATCACAACTACACTGGGTGATCGTGTATGTTGCTGCGATCTCAGAAGATCTTAGCGATTTCGTATTGATCGTAACAATCGCTTTTCCATTGTGTCACTTTTGGTTTCGACTCACCACTATTGGGCTGCTATTGCTGGATCATACCACCAATAGGCCTGTGGTTCATAAAATCATATCCTATTGGTATGTAGGCATTATCCACAACCAAATTTCAACGACTCTCTCTGTCGGTACTTTTCTCGAGAACAAGTTTAATGTTAAGTTAATCATTGGTTATCAAATAGAACAAAAAAGATTTATATCCGGGTGACATTTAATTGCAAAGCGTTTGGTTATTGTGTTTTCAAATGTTGTGAGTATTCCTATAATAGGTTTTCAAGCATATCTGGTAAACTGCATACTTAATAAGCAATCAATTTGTTGATCTGAATAGGTATAATAAGGTTTCAACTGACTACAAGATCCCCGTCCGTAGAACAGGAACACAGCTATTAATAATATAAACAACAACAATATAAATAATGTACCGGTAACAATAATGTAGCAATTTAATATAACTTGAGTATTAGTAGTTAAGTATTTTTCATGTCTACAGTTCTTATTGGGAAATTGTATACTTTGATGAGCTTTTTCTCAACCATACTTGTAGCACCAAGGACAGAGAGCAAGGCTTGCAAGAAAGATGGACCTCTAATTTAATGTGTTTGTACTCGTTAGTAAATTTAGTAAAGCCATTACATTTTTTTTCAGCCTAGAACAACTAGAAAGCACTGTTTTACTGTGGCCTTGTACACATTGGTTTTGCAACAAATGCATTTCAACTCTCCAAAAGAGTGCTCGTGGAGAGAAAGTGACTTGCCCACTGTGTAAGGTCGTGACCAGTCGAAGAAAGATCCTTCCCTTTCAAGATAAACAAAGTGAATATGAGGACCACCTACAGACGTTAATTGGTGCCTTGAGCTTGGATCTTAAATTTGATGGTAAGACATTTTATGCTGTGACTAGCAACAGAGCCTGTTGTGGTTAAATACAACGGTCTCTAGAAGAATAGTACTGTACTTCCAATAATGCAAATTCTACCCACCCAACACATGTTCAGAGATTAAAGTTATGGTAGTTAATTTTGCCCCTACTGTAATTTTTTATACAATAAAGGTACAGTACTTTGGCTTCAAAGCTGTTAATCTGGTATGAACTATTTATGGAGAGCACCATGAAATGGATTGGATAAAAATCTTAACTAGCCTAATATTCTGTATATGTATATATATATATATATATATATATACACTGTCTAATGTAGGCATATTAATAATTCCAAATATTATTTAAATAAATCACCAGTTTGTAAAGTCTTTCTATTTGAGATTTAGACCACCAAAGATTCTCTTGCAAGTGATTCACTGCCAGTTGTTATTTAATACATCAACCCACACTGGCTTATTTTAAGCTGAACAATAATGCAGGGTGTGTAGAATAGAGTAGATGATTGATTTTAGCTTTATTATTAAGTACCCATTCAAGCGTGAACACCATAAAATGGTTGATGGTGATTTTGATAGAGGTCACAAAATTTTGATAGAGGTATTATATAACCAGTAAATTGGGGAAGCCATCTAAGTGTGTATTTCAACCTAAATATGAATGAAGAATGAAATGAGATGCCTTTTATAGCTTTGTGAAGATCCGCCATTTCATCAGCCAACTCCATTTATTAAAAGCCCAGTGTACAGGTATCGAGGAAACATTTATTCTTGATACTTTGTGACTTTGGATTTTTTGAAATCATGATCATCTAGGCCTATTATGATCACAAGATGTCATCAATAGGTGTTAGTATAGATATTTTGATATCTGTTTAAATTTTAAACTTTGAACCATCAAAACCGGCAACCATTATCATTTATTCCCCCCACTTTCACATCCTAGGATGCTAGGTTCACATTACTTCAGGCTAGTCCAAGAGGGTTACGGCATTATCACATGGATAAAATCCATTGTTGATTGGCGGGATTTTATCCCGAGACCTCGGGCTCTGAAGCCCCACGCTCTACCAATAGATCAGCTCTCTCCCCAACCATTTGATTACTAGGCAAGCTCTATGTCCACTCAGGGACCCAGCTTTTTGCTCCTACTCTAGTTACCGACATTTAACAACAGCATTGAAACTGTTCTGTTCAACATTTTTCTTGTATGTGATTTTTGTTTCAGTGACAAGCTATAACAATTTAAGAAAACAAACACAGTTAATAGAATATGACATTCTGAAAACTAATGAAGAAGTAGAATCTATGGCATTATTATCACCTGTCAAGAAGACTAGAACAAAAGCATCAGTTAGAGTCATTGAAGTAAAGACGAAAACAGACGAAATTCAAACAAGACCAACAAGAAGATCAGGATATTTGAATGCTAAAAATAGAAACTCATTGGCAGTTAAGAATAAACAGACACCAGCTGGCAAATCACCGATTCCATCCACAGCATTGTTGCCAGAAACTCCAAATAGTCCTAAAGAAAAGAAAGTCCGGGAATGGCTTGATGCAAACAAGTTTTCACAAGCAGGTCCAGATGTGTGTGTCGAAACTGTTGTGGCAGATGTTCATAATGCTGAACTGGATGAATCTTTGTGCTTTTCTGAAACTGCTCTGCAATCGGTGTCACAAGTAGACTCTGGAAGTGTACAGTCACCAGTTGGATCCATACAGAAAAAAAACCATTTTAGTGCTTTGTCAAGTGATGACATCAAGGTTGTAAATATATCTGCAAATAAATTCCTGACAACCAAGGACAATGTGAAAAGAAAGAAAAAATCTGTGTGTATGCCTTCAGTTGAAAAATTTGATGAGCTTTTTTCAGAAAACCGAAAAATGCAAGCTGTTAAAACAACATATGGCAGTAAAAATCCATACTCTTCGGTTCGCAACCGCGGCCAGAGGTTTGCAGTGAAGACCGATTTGTTTACTAGTATTGATGAAAATAAAGACGTTGAGAAATCTAGTTCAGAAGAAATCAAAACAACAGAAGATACACTAGAAGACTTTTCTTCAGGAAGTGGAGAAGAATGGACTGTTGAAAAAAAACCAAGGAAGAGTAATATATTGAGTAAAGGCAAAAATTTACAAAACAGCTTGAAGAAAAAAGCCTTGAGAGGTGTCAAGAACACTGTTGAAATGTATGTAAAAACACAGAGAAAAAGTTTTAAAGATTCTGTCAAAAAAGGTATAAAAGAGCAAAAAATAAAAAGGAACAACACTTATCAAGAGAGCAACAACAAAGAAGAGAAAATCCAAAACCAAATGCTATTCAAGCGTGGGATTGTAGAACCTAAGGAGAATTTAGCTAAAGAAATTATTGATGACTGGAATGACACAAAAGATTCAAATAGCTTATTTTTAGAAAATGGTCAGTTGCTGACTAAAGATAATGTTGATATTGCTATGGGAGAGTCCAAAACCAGCAAATCGTCTGAAACTAAATCTGTTGGTAAAATTTCTGAATCAAAAGAATTGAACTCTAAAGATAATAGTGCTGTTAACAGAGTAATGGAAACTCCAAGTAAGGAAGTAAACGCAAGATCTCCGGGATGGTCTAGGCTCAAGTCTACGAAGAAGGAGTTTCACCTATCTGATAAGAAGAAACTCAGCCTATCAAAATCTAGTTCTTCCTTGGCTAATCTTGGTATTTCACCTTTGTTGAATCAAAGTAAGAGCTCGGTCAGCAGTTTGAACAAAGTCAGTCCAGAAGGGACAATAAATAAATCAAGTAAGTCAGTAGGCCCGTATAAAACTATATGCCCGTCTAAACCCATAGATGATGCAAGGTATACAACATCTGATGTTGATTGTGAGACAAAAACAGAGAAAACTACAGAAATAAGAAAGAGTTTAAATGCATCACTAAATTCATCTGCATCAGGATCACCCTTTAGAGGGTTTTCTTCGCCTGAGGAGAAAGTACCTTTCAAAGGTTCAAAAGCAGGTCTAAACCTAGCCAGTGATGCTCAAAAGTCCAACAACACAGATGTCCTACGTTTGTTATCTAAGAAAAGGGAGAATAATGTTGCTGTTTCAAATAAAAATAAAGAATTATCACTCTCCGAAAGTTTGAGGAAAGGTGATTGCATGGAAGTAGATTTGATTGCTCATGAAGATCCTGAATTTCCTCAAAAAACAAATATTGAAAAATTTTTTTCACGTGAAATATCTGAAGAAAGTACCAAGCCTTTAGAAAAGTTCAATACTGAAGGAAAATGTGTGTCAGCTCTTCCACAGCAGAGCTCAGTATTTCCTAAGAAACGAGATCGAGATTCTGGAATCCATAATGAGAGGTAAATAATTATTATGTGGCATATTTCATTGTTTAAATAATATTTTCAAGCATCTTAATCTGAAGTTCAGATCACTTTGGTTGGTTCAGATTAACGTTTGGTTAAGATTGTTGTATAAACAAATTAAACAAATTCTAAACAATGTTCTTAACCTACATATTGTTAAAATACACTTTTCTTATGCAACTATATAAATATACAATTACATTTGTTTTTTAATATGTTTAATTTATGACTTTAAATATAGATTCATCATGTATTTGATTTTTCCTCAGAACCCCTCTGTTAGCGAATTTCCCATATAGGGAATAAGCTATTACCGTAGGTCTCATGGTAAGACCTAGACCCGGGACCGATTTACTTTTTCGTTTTGAGGTCCCCAGAGGCCAAAAACACCATCCGTTCAAATTCATATATATATATATATATATTTATATAGGCTATATATATATATATATATATATATATATTTATATATGTGTCCGTTAGCGCGATAACTCGAGCAAAATTGATCCGATTTTGATGAAATTTGGTACAAACGTGTAAACCTACATTTATTCGAACGAGTTCGCAAACCAGCATAATCGGACCATGGGATCAGGGGTTTATGGGGGGTTTTATGGGGTAAAAATGGGTTTTTCTCATTTTTGACCCCAAAAACTTTAAATTTCTAAATTTCTCTCTAGACCATTTTGAAGAGCTTAAAAAAACAAATAATTTAGTATATTGAAGTTTTTTTAAATGTTCATTGACTACGGAGAAAATGAAAGAAATTGTAAATTTAAAATTCCCATGTTATTCTTATGGAGAATAAATAAACTGTTCTAGTTTGCTTGTTTATGGATATATTTTAATCAAATTTGGCTTATTTCATACTAAGCTATCAATATTTCAATTGAAAAAACACACCTCAACATCTTTCCCGTAGCAGCAAACCTAACTACTCACTAAAATTAATGTTATTTAAATAGGAAATAAATCTGAAAATTTATAGGGAATATTTTAGTAGAAATCGAGCCTGGTGAATGGAAATTCGCTTAGTATGCAGGTTTGCTGCGACGGGGGTATTTTACAATAATTTGTCTCTACAAAAAAGTAAAATAAACTAGTTTCATTAACTGGTTATATTATTATTTGCTTTTATTATTGAACTCATCATCTTGACTTCTAAAGTGACTAACTACCAAACCAATTACAGTACCTCGTTTTGTATGAACAATTGTTGGTATAAACTCTTGCATTCTTTTGTATTTTAATATTGTTTACATCATTTATTGACTCATCTTTTTGGTTTTGATTTCCAGTGGAATCTCCTCTCCTGTAAGAAAAAAGGTTTGTAGGGACGCTGAAGTACAAACAAGTCCAGGCAGAATGCAGTCAGTCATTCGCGACATGCTCAAAGACATGTGCGGAATAGAATTGGAGGACATGATAAAGAGATCTAATAAATGTGCTTCACTGAAACCCGTGGACATTGGTGTCACAAGTCCCATCCAACATTTTACATCATCACAGGATTCAGATAAGGAAAATGTTGACATAATTTCAAACAATTTTTCTGCTTCGAAGAAAAATTTAGATGAATCTGATATTGTGTTTGCTACAGAAGAAAGTTCAGGACTTACCCAATTAAATCAGCTAGGGAGCGCTCGGAAAAATGCTCTGGTCAACAATCAAGATTCATCAAATCTGAATGTTTTAAAGGAATTCAAAGAATTCATTTATGATGTCGACCCTGATGCACCTACTCAACTTTATAAAACACCGGTTGTACCAAAGAAACCTTTACAAACTTCCACAAAAGAGTATACTATTGTTTCAAATCCCTCATCAAGTGAATTGAAGAGGACAGACCATTTATTCAACAAAAGCGATGTTATATTCCCAGATGAAACACCTAAAGGAGTCACTCCTTGGAATTACTCAGGAGTAGATGAACTCAACGGTAATACTGGTACAGTAAAAAAATGGGCAAATGAGAGTGTCCCTCCTGCATCTCAAAGTTCAAAAGAAAAGACAAGAAGCAGGAGGCAGTTAGATTTTGTGGAGGAGAACTCAAACGACATATTTGATTTTGAAAAACAAACTTCTAGTCACAATAAAGATGGTGCTGAGAATTGTCAATTGGACTGTTCTCAGAATGAAAGAGTGGAAATTTTACGTGACAAAAGTGATGAGCTCGATGATATTTTTATGCAGAGCGATGAACTTCCTGATGTTATTGTCAACTCTCAAGGTAAAGAGAGAGAAGTTTCATTTGACAATGAGCATCACAAGGAAATGAATCGTAGTGAAATTGTAACTGATAATATGACTGACACATCAGGAATAGTAGGGCCCTCTGAGTTACAGGCTGACGATAATCAACTGAATTTTTGCAACAAACAGAATAATACCGACACAAGTAAAAAAATCGTGTCAAATAACCCTGACAAGGTTTTGTTGGGGAGAATTAATAAATCAACTCAATTAGAAAATGAAGTTCGAACAGATATCTTGGACTCAGAGCAAGATTCTTACATGTTCCATCAGTCACCTAAACGTAAGACAAGAACTGGTTGTGTAAAAAAAAGAGACGATGACGAGGAATCAAATCCTGCGAGTGACGTTAGTTACGTGGAAGGCACGCCGGATGTCTCTCAAAATGAAGTGAATCAACAGGAAATGCAAAATAATGAACATGATTTGGAAACATGTAATCAACCTCAAAAGCTTGTTGACAAGGAAGATTTCCCTCAGAGGGTTAGGGAAAATAAGCTCTCCCATAAGGAGCATATCCATCATGAGTCTCAACAAAAAGAGGAAGATGGCGTCAAGTCGGGAAGTAACAACATAAATGAAAACACAGAGGTTGAAGATGAAAGTCTTTGTTTTGCTTCTTCACTTCTCAATGCACAGCAAAATCAAGTTTTGGCCTGTGTTCTTGGGGCAATGGGACTTACCTATTCAAAAAATGTGGGACCTCACATCAGCCACCTCATCGTAGGCACAAAGGACGGATGCTTCCAAAACACCTACAAAGTTCTGCTCGCTATGGCCTTGCATAAACCCATTATCAGGTTTGAATGGGTGGAACAAGTTATAAGAACCGGAGGCAGCGTACCTCTGGTAAGTTTGAGCAATAATACATCCCTTTTTTCTGTGATAAGATTGGATTCAATATGTTAAAACTAGTTTCCTCCTGAGTCTTCAAAATTGCATAGAGACTATTATTTATTGCAAATGCAAAGATAAACTGTAATTGTCATGTTAATTTGTTTTTAAAAGATTCTATTTGATGCTGATTCCATTGTCCTTAATACCTCCAAAATCCTATTTTTTATTTGGTTAGGATAGCAGGCTTAACTTAACTCAATTTTACATCCTTATTTTAAAAATAGATTGACTCGACTGCTATTGTGGCCATGTTATAAAAAATGTAGGCTATAGCTGCAATGTACTAATGTAGATTTCTATTTTCTAGGACACATTTGTTGCTCTTGATCCTAGCGGAGAGTGTGGAGTGTTAAGAGCAAAAGCGGACAAAAATCGACAACTTCTACAGGATTTTGCAATTCATATATATAACGTAAACGACAGAATTGTTTTGAAGGAACAGATTGAGGTAAAAGTAGTTTAGTATCAATTATTATTTCCATACTATTTGATTAATTACAGAAAATACGAGCTTAAGCGGCCAATGTTTGGCCATCTATATATTAATAGGCAAGTATGTTTCTTTAAAACCTTTTTTCTCAGCTCGTGTGCATCATAGGGGAAATCTATGCATACTGTTGGAACGATATTTTCCTGTCGATGTGCAGAATCCCTTCATAAATTAAAATAGGCTAAAAACAAGCACAAAAAATTAATTTAAAATGAATACAAAATTAACATAGGTCTTATACCTTGCCATGCTGGTGACTAAATAACAATGCAATATAAACAGAAAATCAAAACAAATGGAAGAAATTCCAATCACATGTTTTATTTACATTATAGGGTGAAAATAGAGAAGTCTTTATATTACATATTTTTGGTCGAGTTTTCGGCACTGGATGACCTCTAGTTTATTTAAATAGCTTAAATGTTGCTTGTGTATGTAACATATTTTTCCTACCACTTCATGGGAATGGTCACATTGCCATACCCAGAGAGCACAGAATAGAAATAGAGAGGGCACTGGGCGAGTGAAGTGAAGCCACCTGAAAATCGGCGTTGCCCGTATAAGTGGTGGGGAGAGCGATGAGTCATCCTAGTTCTGCGCAAACTCTGTGAGTTGCTACTATACAACATTCATAGGCTGATGCATTAACTGGAGTCAGGAACGGTATAAAACAACATTTTTATAATATTAACAAGTTTTGGAAACCAAGCATGGAACTAATGTAATTTTAATTTTTTTTTTCTATTTTAAAGTTTATTTTCCAAATTATTTATGTGAACGTGTTTATGTGGTAAAAATACTTGTAAAATATCCAATTTACCGTGATTAATGGGTTTTCTTAATGTGTAATTGTGGCATTGGCATCTTAACACGATTTTTAATAGATATAGATAGATTGAGTACTGTACAGAAAGAAAACATTCCAAAGCATGCAGTTTATTTATATTCGTACATGTGTTATATTTGAAATTTAACAAAATAATGTAAAAAAACCCATTATTGTAGTTGTTTATTTTATGAACTAATACTATATGGGACCAAGCTTTAGAGAAATTGCGATATCATAGAAAGTTCATTAATGGTTATATTTTAAAACATAGAACTAAGCTCATATAGTTACGCAACAATGATGATTTAGTCAACTTTCTGGTTTGGATTTTGTGGTCAGTGGCGTAACAAACTGTTACGGGCCCCCCTGCAAACTTATTTTTTGGGCCCCCCTCTCATGAGTTATTTTTAGACCACCGATACAACATAATTAAATGCCCTCCCCCTCCCCCCAGAGTTATTTTTGGACCACCGATACAATGATCAAACAGATTAATCATAAAAAGAGTGGTAAATAAATTATGAAAAAAATATTAAATTAAAAATTAAAATATTAAATTATGGGTTATGTCATGTCCATAAAGGAATGTGTTAAGTATTTCAGTCGTGGTTTGATGAAAGTGTTACATCTCTACATCATTATATCAATATTAGTGTTTGTATATAGTTTTGAAATCAAATAAAAAACCTTATTTTCCATCCGTCTATCAGAATGTTTATATCAATGAGGTTAAAAATTTTACATTTAATTTATCACACATGTTATCAATTTTTATTACCCTGATAATTGGACTAATTCGTTAATTACAAGGCAAAAATGTGGCTCGAATTCCCCTATTAACCCCCTTAGGTGCCTTTTGCTGTATTGGCTAGGCTATTAATTAACATCTGTGTCTATAAATGTCGGACTTGGTCCCTTTCAAAACTAAAAGGTTGGGCTACTCATCCAACACTCATCTCCATTAATTCTTGGCTTAAAATACAATACCTACATTGGTATGGTCGCCATTTCAAAGTAAAGTATTAAAGTAAAACAATCAATTATTTAAGATGGGGACGCCACTATGTGCGTATTCAAATATGACTGAAGGATGGGAAAGTATTAATTTACTAGGTTAGTTTAATCTTTGGTTATAATTAACTCATACACTAAAAGCTGGTTAATTTAATATATTGACGTACTTTTATCACAGGCTAAAATAGCCCATTGCATTTTTATTTTATCTTTGTAAGGATTTCAAGCGTCTTATTACGTTGTAAGCGTTTATCTTACAACAAATGTCTTTAGTAGTATGTTTTCTGTGGTATTGGTTAATTGTGAGGTAAAATAAGATATGGGTTAACAAACAAAGTCAGTAGAGTAGCAGTATATTGTATTAACAAAATACAATCAATATTAGGACAAAACTAAAATGTAAAATAATACAATATTAAAAGCCCCAGCCAACGTTCATGACTCCAGGCTCCAAAATAACAAAATGTTTGCAGACGACATAAGCAGTGTACGAAATCACCGAGAAGTAAAATATTTCTCGGTGACGAAAGTAAGATTGCATAATAATCAAAGACCCACGTTATAACACGTTAAATTGTCACCCTAGTTCGTTATCACTGAAGAGGCCTAACAAAATTAAACGATAACTGATAACAACATATTATTAATAACATAAATGTTATTACTTGTTCAATACAATTACTGAATGATTGATATACATTTAAATAAGAATGAACTCCAACTTTTCGGCCCCACTCGTCTCACGGGCCTCTCTGCTCACCATTTCCCGCTCACCGGTTCGCGGCCCCCCTCAGCTCCCGGGCCCCCCCCGCATCGCGGGCCCTTCTGTTACGCCACTGTTTGTGGTTGATAGTCATTAAGTACGCGAAACAAGAGTAACACGGATAAAATAGCCTATTTTATGAAATAAATATATTATTTATATCAAAATCGTATAAACTAGAGTGCAAATCCTGTGTTTTTGTAATGTGTAATTCATTTATTGCCATTTAAACTTGATTTGTGGTTGTTTGATTAAATTAAAACAAACACAAAACGATATTTTTGTTTTTAAGTTAGCCTACATGAAAGTTGATTTAGGCACCATCTAACAAAGGTTGTACCAATTTTTGGGACGGTAAAAGTATTTTTGAACAGATTTATGAACAGCATTTTGTTGTCAAATGTTTTATGTTCAAAGTATTATTGTTAAAACATGTAATTTACTGTGCAAAATTATGTATTATTGTTATGTGTAATTGGTTTATTGCCATTTATACATAATTTGTAGTTGTTTGAGCAAAGTTAAACTTACCCAGCAAAATAAATTTGTTTTAATATCCTTATTAACGGTTTGTAAACAGCCTTCAATGTATTGAAATAATAATTAAATAAACGTGAATAGCAATTGTATATATACAAATGTTACCGTGCTTATATTATAAATGTATATAAATTAGAATGAATATTGAATGCATCAATCACTGTGTGCGTAGTAGGGTAGTAGAGAGAGACGTGTAGTCGCAAGGCAGCGCCCGAGCGTCGGCGGGTCCCTCCCGAAATTTTGCGAGGAAATTTTGCTTCCTCTTCTACCTGATTTATTTCCTAAACTACTCATCATTAATTAAAAAAAAAATATATGTTATGATTCAATTCAAGCTCTCAAACTTTGCCGCTGACAAAACTTTCCTGACCAAAAAATTAAAAAAAAATTCTAGATCACTTACTTTTTCATGTTCTAATTCATAATTTAATAATTTCTTTCGGTTTTAACGGCTGTTAAAATTACAATAAAATTATTTTTTATATTCCAACCTTACTGTCAGTGAGAAGCACTAATTTATAGTAGCTGTGCCAAATTTGGTAATATTAGGTCTACTCTAAGTGTGTCTAATCATCGTACATTTGGAAAAGGTGATCTACCGCTATATGCAGCAGTTGCCGCCACTTGCAAAATAAGTGGTGGAGGATTGGCTACACTGCCCGCAATGCTTGCTGGATATACGTAGCCCCTCTAGTTCTATTCTGTGCTCTCTGGCCATACCTGTAAAAAGTACAAAAAATAGCTCCTTGCAGCCCTAGAGCTGATTTGACATTTGTAATTTTTTTTTAAATAAATATAAAAACGCTCATTTATGAACGAGTAAATTTTGACTCGAGTTGTGCTTATAGAAACTTCTTATAGAACTTCCACTAAGTTCTTATAGGATATTAGTTGGGACGTTATGGAGGTTTTAGACATTTGCCTATTGGGTCTGATAATGATTGGAGGGTCTAGTCAAAATTGATCGCCACTTACCATCTGATCTATTATAAATGTACAGGGTGATTACCGAGAAAGGCATGTTTTTCAAATAACGAGTACTCAGGTAATTCAGAGGCAAAAATATATTTACGAGTGGAAAAACCGTGTACACAATATGTAATTTCAGAATAAAATTACTTACAATTTAGCATTTAAAAAATACATCTCTAAGGTGGTCGCCTCCTGCTTGGATACAGTGTTGAAGGCGTTCCTTAAAACTTGCTACGGATTTTGATAACATATCTCTAGGAATGGCATTGATTTCCTGGTGAATAGCTTCTTTAAGTTCCTGTATTGTTTTTGGTTTGTTCATGTAAACTCTAGATTTCAAAAATCCCCATAGAAAGAAATCTGGAATTCTAAGACCTGGTAGGTGAGAAGGCCAAGTGACATCACCAAAACGTGAGATACTCTTGTAGGGAATGTTCGCTGAAGGAATTCCATTCTAATGCGAGCCGTATGGACTGTTGCCCCATCTTGTTGGAACCACAAAAATTTACACTTTGCCTCTTATCTGCTTGACTCAATCGATGACATACTGCCAGCTTGAAAGGATGAAATTTATGATATTTTACCAAAATCTTTCTCACAGTGGATAGGCGAAGTCCAAGAGCAGATGCCCGCTTCCGAATTGAGGGGCTAGGAGTCTGAACTGTGGCGCACTCTTTCAACTGTCTCAGGGGTACTGTCCTTGCCGGTCCAGGAGGTTTCTTCTTAAGCAAAGATCCAGTTGTGTTAACATTATGTATCCAGCACAATATCGTGTTACGATCAGGGATAGCACCGTGCAGTGCAATGTTAAAATGTGCACAAAAGTCTCGCTGAGTCTGAATGACTGGTTCACCATTTGCGTAATATCGTCGCATGACAAACGTACGATGCTCAAGGTTCCACATCTGGGCAAAAATTGAAACTGCACACTTCCCCCTACACAGCGCAACAACTTCCGGCCGTCGCCGAACGATATTCAGTGTACTACGAAAGTCAAAAACATGCGTTTCCCAGTAATCACCCTGTATATTTACCGTCTTAGGCGTCTTGTGATTTAACAGTATAAGTGTAAATATATGTTTCAAGAGTGTTCTTGGACATATTTTTACTTACTTCCCATAAATTTATTAACACATACAATGCTGCTGATCCAGAAGTTATATTTATTTAAACATTAATGAAATGAGTTCTCTTTTTCCATGTGTTATTTTGTCCAAATAGTTACTCATCCATAATTGATTGATTTGATCAAAACCTAACTGTACCACTTAGTTTTATTATATTTTTTTAAGAGTAATGATTCCATAAACACAGTTAGGCGCACAACATGATGACTCAGTGATATTTGGTAAGGGTTACATGTAGCCTAATTAATTGTTTTGTTGCAGGAACTTGTTAAACTGTGTGGTGGAAGTGTTGTTAAGGATTTACATGACTTTTACACTGTCCCCCGAGACAAATTTAGGATAATTGTCTTGTCTGAACCTCCAGATTCTCTCACTCAAGGAGGTATTATTAGATACCGCCAATCTTTAGTAATAATACTAATACTTTTAAGTAGAATCAACTTTCTACTAACTTATGGACTTCGTCCATACTACACATTTTTTTTAGAAAGAACTTTTTTGAATTACTTTACACAGTAACTAAAGGTAGTAGGTATATTTTTCATCACTAGGGCCTAAAGTGGCTCTTTTCGACCCGAGCTCAAGTTTTATGATCAAGGCAAAGCCAAGGTCGTAAAATTAGGGAGGGTTGAAAATACATTTTACCCGTGAGATGAACTAAATTTTCTGTCATATTGCACCATTATTTGAACAAACTATTCAAAAAAACTAAAACTAATAGTATTTATTCAAAAATAACCTCTCCAAGTGCTTCTAACTTGTTTTTCATTTAATTTTCTAAATGGTAACAAGCAGCTGTTTAGTTTATTAAGTGATTCAATAGTTTCTTCTATTACAATTGTGTTAGTGTGCATTATACTAATCGATATGTCAAACTAATTACAATTAGGCAGCAATTAACTACAATCGATACATGCAATTTTGTTTACAATTGAAATTTACAACTGAGTTGACAACTGCCGATTTTTACTCCCTAGGGGCTAAAACGCTTTTTACTGCCTAGAGAGTAGAAATTCTACTTTAGACCTGCAACCCATACTTAAAAATTATTGTATGTATCATTCAAACTTTTTGAACTAATTACCGTATAATTTATAACTTCCTCCATCCTATACATTTGATTTAAAACAGAAAATTTGAACAATCAGTGATATTCTTATCCTGTATTACCAAGCGGGAAATGCGATGGTTTTGATATATAAGAAATCTGAAAGCACAAAAAATGACACTTGTCATAATATATTATGAAATATCTCAAATACTCTGGAGAATATTATAAAGAAAAAAATGTTTAACAATAAGTTGCCTATTTTAAGTTGTGTACAGTAGACTCTTGATAATTCGAAATTGGTGGGCCAAGCATATAAATTTGAATTATCAAGAGTTCGATTTATCGGGAGAAAAATAAACCATTCGAATTACAGAGAGTTCATTTTTTAATACATACAAAGGTACAGCACGTTACAATAAAACATCATACTGTGCCGTATTTTAGTACACTTTTAAACAATCAACGGCTTATTTTTCAGTTACTTTAGTTGCAAAGAAGTCTGTTATTTAGCGCTATATATTTCGCCAATAGCTGAACTATCAGCTGTCGGCTGTCGACAACTACGTTTGTGCTCAAGGAGATGTCGCGCAATCTAGAGATCGGATTGCCAACTTAGAAAAACAAGTCAGTGAACTAACTCAGACTACTGCTCTAACTAAACAAACATCAACACGTCCAACACTAGCCTACCATAGGAACAGGATGTACTGTACTGTATAGTTTCCTGTTATAACAGGAAGAGATCACTTCGAATTATAGAGTGTTTTGCCGACTAAACTTCGAATTACTGTGTGACTTTGATTTATAGAGTGTTTTTTCGACGAAACTTCGAATTATAGAGTGTTAACCGACGAAACTTCGAATTACTGAGTTACTTCGAATTATAGAGTGTTTTTCCGACGAAACTTCAAATTACTGCGTGTTACAATTTGACCTGCCCTCTATTTGGACTTTGAAATACCGAGTGTATCAAAATGCATGGTAAAAATTTGAAATATTGAGAGATTCTCTAGGGACTGAGCCTTCATTTTGAATTATCGAAAGTTTTGAATTATCAAGTGTTTGAATTACCAAGAGTGGACTGTACTATATTTTGTGCCTATATTTTGCAGTTTGGGAATGCTCACCATTATTGAAAAATTACTTGAACAAAATAGGGCCTACAATTAAAATATAGATTTCTTGGGAAAGGCAGAATTGGAAACGCGGTTTCATATCTTTTTATTAATATCTAAATCAACTCTTCTATTCTTCCAATTTCAGTTCAATTGCTATCTACAATTAACTCTGACTAAAACTAGACCTCTTTCAATCAATTGTGGTCAACTAGAAGGTTTCCTCAAATTAATGCTACTGAAACAGGGATATTTAAGAACAAACGTCTGTTAAATTCTATTAAATAAAATTACTTTAACAAAGAAAAGGTAATACAACTTAAAATTCAGATGATTCTGTATTTCAGATTGGCGCCAGAGATACTCAGCTGTGGAGGTGATGATAGACTGGGTCTACAACACTATCGGAAGGTACAGAGTGATGCCTCTGGTGCCTTACATGGTCACTGAGGCCACCGACGCTGTGCCTTTCTTACAGCACGAAGGCTATCCCAAGGAACTCATATTTGATTTGTCCATGCAGGAATAGTTCCCCTGGAATTGTTGTTCAGTGTCCTGAATCAGTTCTGTTTCCTTAAAAACAAAAACGGCCGTTTCTGTTTTCAAGGTTTGGTAGTCGTGTCTACCAGAATAGTTATTCTGTTTCATGGAATAGTAGTGTTGCTTCCTGGATAATCTATTCTGTGTTTCCAAGAGCAGTGTTATTCCTGTTTTGTCTAAATGTATAGATCTGTAAATGTTATAGGTGTAGTTGTTTTTTTGTGTCCTGTATACTAATTTTGTGTTTGTAAGTATATTGTACTCTTGAAAATATTTATTGTACATATGATGTTTGACATTATTAGTCCCTCTTTAGTTTGTATATACCCAGTATAACATCCATTCATCACTTCAAGAAGTATCCTTATTCACACTGATGTTTCCAAAATAGAAAATCCTTTGTGCAATTAACTATTACTTTACCTTTACATCATTACAACTCAAACTTAGCATATTGAAAGTATTAACATGTTTACAACAACACAATATCTATACTTAAGAAAAATTTATAAATACAAAACTTTTTAAAACAAAGCGTTTTTAAACGCACTAAAAAGTAGAAAATAATTTATAAATATGTGGAGAGTATAAATACTTGTAGGATTTAAAACGAGAAACGTTGGGTGTATGCAATAGATACACCTTTCATATTTGATATTAGTGACAATTACCTTCATCTATTAAACTGACGTATTATTAGAAATTGCATGCACCCAACGTTTTACGTTTTAAATCCTTCAAGTATTTATACTCTCCACATATTTATAAATTATTTTATACTTTTTAGTTTTTAATGTGTGTGGATGTTAAATCTATTTCAAGCATCTATATCAGGTTAAGACAGAAGCGTGTGAGAAATCTAAGGTTTATTTGAGTTTCTTTTCATATCATTATGTATAAGATTTAATGTATGGCCTACCTACTAACTATAAATATAGCAATCTATTAAATTTATTGTTTACTTTAAAGAATACTAAATAAATAACAAATGACATTATTAACAAACACCTTTATATCAGCAATCAGATTGTTTATCTTTATTTTGAAATGTTTGTTTGTTAATAATCTCTTGGGAGCACAACCTGTACCTCTTAACCTCTGCTCTTCGAACTGTCAAATTTAAGTATTTACAGCTGACTTATATTAATCGATATATTTACATTCTTTCAAAATGTAAACATGGAAAATTTGGAAGCCCATGGGGCGTAGCCCAAGGGAAATATGAAAATTAAATGATATAATATTGCATTGTCATCCATTTGTGAGCTATGTTTCAAATTTCAAGTCTCTAGCTCATCGGGAACTTTGTTTAAAATTGATATCAAAATTTGTAGGAAAGCGACTAGTGAGCTAATAAAAACAAGCCAATGGGGCGTAGCCCAAGGGAAATATGAAAATTAAATGATATAATATTGTATTGTCATCCATTTGTGAGCTGTGTTTCAAGTATCTAGCTCATCGGGAACTTAGTATAAAATTGATTACAAAATTTGTACCGGACAAGAAAGCGAGCTAATAAAAACGTTTTAACAACCTGATTTTTTAAAACTTAGTTTGAAGGTTAATAAATTGTGTTATAATTTGTATACAACGAAACAATCATTAGAAAGCAGGAACATAACAACTTGAATTTATAAACATAATTATTTATCCCTAATTAATTATTGTAAGACTACCACAATAAAATATGTATAAAATATGACAGCAACAATAATGGTACCCTACTTTTTAATTTTAACTAACGTAAAGGGGCGGGGCTATAACATAATGTATTAGGAATATTTTATTTGAAAAATCTTTAGGCTATATGTTATTTTATATACAACTTGTTAAGTTATAATTTAAGTGTTTGTAACTATTCTTTTTGGTATGATTGTACACTCTTCAAAATTTATGATTACTTCTATAAATAAAATATGTTTTGTTACAAGACAAATGATTCTCTTTGAACCTGTTTGTTGAAAGTGGTCTTTTTATTAGCCTACTAAGTCATTTTTTTTGACAAATCAAATGTGAACTAGTTTTGAGAAGTTGTAATTCGTTGTAGAGCCAACCTATTTTAAAAACTAACTAATACATGGAAGAAGGGGTCAGATTTGTAACCATAGTACATCTACCTACCAAGATAAGTTGTATTTGCATATGATGTAAGTTTTACCTACAAACAAATTTTAAAATCTGAAGTAAAATTCTGCAAATAACCAAAAATAAAAATTGATCTCTGGAGGACTGTTCTGGTCTTCAGAGGCTTTTTGCTTTGGATCTTTAGCTACATAGAGATTCCTCTACAATCAAATTGAACTATATTTTGTGGCTGAATTTGACAGGTTCTTAGTGCTTATATTAACTACAATGGCAATCAATTGAGCGATAACATACAGCACCACAGCCACAGATATCTGACCAGAATTCACTCTCCAGGTTTAGAAATTAGATGTGAATTACTTACATAAGGTCGTTTCCCTGAAACGAAAAGTAGCAAACCCAATTATATAAGAATACAAATGAGATTACATAAAATATGTATTGAAGATGCTAAAATCTGTCTCCACTTTTTTCTACAGTACCATCTGAAAATGATCAGATCAGGGGCGGACTGGGTACTCTATTAGGGCGTAAACCTTGACCAGCCCGAAGGCGCCAACCGGGGGGACTGGGGGGTATGGAATACCCCCCTGTACAGAGGGGGGTCCGGGGGTCCTCCCCCGGGACATTTTTTAAAAATTATACCTGTAAACTCGCATTTTTAGGCAATCTAGAAGCATTAACAGTGGAAAATCAGAAATCTGATAACTGACACTATTGGTTAATGTTTGGTTTACAAAATTTAGACTATTTACCCACACGACTTGGTGCTATTCTGACAGTAAATATCCTAACAAAAATAAAAATACAAATGATTTTCTTAGGTTCTTTCGTATTATATTTGTGTATTTTCTTTGTTTTCCCTTGCATGGCTTGGCTGCATGCATACAACATAAATCATTTGCTTCCTGTTTACAGCATCTGCATGAACTTGCAACTGTTGTATTTTTTGGCACTGTAAATAACAGAAGTTATATATTTTAGATTTCTATGAAATTATTTTAACACAAACAATATGCTTTCACTGTGAACAAAACCAATTTATTGACTTAAACTTTTTAGCATTACATTAAGTCAAAACTGTAACCCTAAAGTAGGCCTACCTAACCTATTTCTACAAACTAAATAGCCTAGAGAGAACTAAGAAGGTATTTTAGGCTGGCTATCTGTAAGTAAAATAGGAAAGTTGACAAAATTAGTGCCATAGTGCATATTGAAATAGTTAATTAATAGGCTGTAGCCACATATTAAAATACTGTTTACTGTTTAACCTTTACTGTGTAATGGTTAAGTTAACAAATAAATACACTGTCACTAAATCTATTTAAATTTTGTAAAAGTAGTGATTCTACAATACTGCTTTCGTTCAAGTTTCCTGTGTAGGTAAAGAATATAAAAATAAATTGAAGCTTTCGACACAGAGACACAAATCAGACACTCACTAAAGAGAGCCACATTTTAATTGGCACTGGCAGCTCACACTATTTATTTATTACATGCACGGCAAACGCCATTTTACAAGAGAGTTGAGTTGATATTGATAAAATTAAATGAGACTTAAAGTGAAATAGTTATAGTGTGAGCAATAATTCAATATTATAACAAATATGAATAATATTAAATTATCTTCACTAGTTGTTTGCCACAGACGACATCGTGACACCGACCGATGTCGGATGTAGTCGCAGTCACGAATACTAGAAAAATACAGGTATGGATCACAAACGTAAACAAATGACGTTGTTGGCCCGAATCCTATACTGAGCATTGAACAATTGAACATATGATTTGGCAGTTCCATTTAAGCGATGTTAAATAATGTTTATTTTCGGGCCAAAAACGTAATTTGTTTATGATCCATACCGGCATTTTTCTAGTACTCGTGGTCGCAGTGCAGTTTTTTTCGGGATCTGCGTAAAATGACGCGGGAAGAGGACAGCTGTTTGCTCAGACCACAGAGTAAAGTAAGTGCCTTCCACTCGGAGTAGGCCTACACGTACGAGAGAGAAGAGCTGCTTTGCTCTCGCTTGTCGACAGTGTCTATTCAGGTCTCACGCCCGACTTTATGTTTTGCTATTCACTGCTGAAACTTTTACTCTAAGTTTTTCCTCTTGCTTTCTAAAAAATACATCTCGTCTCATTTTTTAAAAAAATTTTATGAATTTTTCCTATCGAGGGCGCAAATATTGGAATGTTGAGAAGGCGCATCGGCCCTCCGGCCGGTGGGCCGGCGGGCCAGTCCGCCCCTGGATCAGATGGATAGGATTACATATTGACGGATCAAGCAAAAAACTTTTTCCTACAGTTACCTAACAATGTACATGTTCTCTCACTGATTTGAGAAAGCAAAGTGGCCAATTCGCTCATCAGTGAGACAATGTTAACATTGTCTCACTCCAGATTTTTAACGTGAAGGCACGAAATAGTGAGCGCGTAACATGCAGGCAACGTCTGCACGCTAAATACGTTGGCAGCACTGGCTGTAAATCAGCTGGTCAGCTGTTGTACTGTTGTATTTGTCACTTCACATTAAATTTTATATTAAAAGTTCTCTTCTGTGTAAAAATAGGTTATGTTTCTTCACCAATTTATTTGTTTTATGGTAACTGTAGGAAAAGTATAATGTGCAACTCGAGTTCAAAGTACAATTGCCTCACTAGAGAAACCATTCTCTCGAGTGAGTCAATTGCTCACTTTTCTCACTAGTTGCACAAATAACTATTGCTTAATATAATTAGACGTATTAATTATTATTGGTTGTTAGTTACGCATTGATTATTAGTTCTACAGTGTGAATCAAATTAATAGGTGAATCCGAATCCTGTTAAACCAAACAATTTTTTGGGGGAAAAGTAAATAATAGCACTAGGGTGTCCAACATCCTGGAAACCAGGAATTGTATGTAAATTTTGATGATTAGGAAAATTTGTAATTTTATGCAGTAGTTATAGAACCTGGAAATTCCAAATAATTGGCAATAAGCCTATTGCCAACCATCCATTCATTAATGGTGTTCTGTTGGGTTTATTTTCTCTTCTTTAAGGTCGTCAAGTTATCAAAATCGTGGGAGATGATAATGGTCTTAGCAAGAGTATGGTCAATTACAATCCCAAACAAATGGTTTGGTTTATATCCAATTTTACTGAATTTTTGGCTAATATGAACGATTTAGTAATCCGAACAGAGTCCTCTACTAATTATTTTACATTAGCGAGATTCTAGTTTTATTGGGAGGTCTTTGTCGGAAACCTGTGTTTTACTACTGGCCTGCGTCTCATACTTGCTGGACACATTTTATCTTGAAGGTGAATAAATGATTGAATCCAGGATTTTGGAGGTTAATTATATTTTTACATTTTTTATAAATCACAACATTAGGAGGAAGTAATTAAATGGATGTTAACAATGTCAACTTCTCGTTGAGCTGCAGTTGAGTTTTTGTTAGCTGACACAGTGTGATGACCATCAACAAATCCTGGAAAAAGATCAAGATATTTAGTAATGCTTTATGACAAAACTTTATTTTGGAACAGGGATTTACTCAGCATTTAAGGCTCTTCTATGGATGTATGATGTTATCAAAGTATATTGGTTTATACAGGATGTCTATCAATTTTCTTACTTTCAAATCTGACATTTAAGTTGCCTTTTATAGTAAATCTGTATATGATTAGTTTATCATTTATGATAGAGAAAATTCCATTCAAGACACAAAGAATCACTAAGTTTATCAATTACAATCTTTTAAATTAATTATTTCTATAGCTCAGGTAAAATATTAGTGACTTCTGGAATTTGTGACATTGACTTCCTGGTACAATAATTTCACGAGATGGTTAACAGATTGGGTCAACAATAAAATAAAGAAAAGGTAAAAAGGCACGTTTTAGTTACGTATCCAAATAGGGAAAGGAAATTATTTCCTAATACTTTAACTGTGTCAAAAGAAAAGCCATAACAGGGTTTCTTGAGACGGGAAGCAAAGGTATTATTCCCCAGCAAACAACAAACGTACACCTCAGGATCAAAATAGTTATCTGCTTGAAAACTGTGAGTCCAAACCACCTTCTACCCTTGTTTACTAATAATATAAGATACCATGAAGGAGTTTTCAAAGAAACATAAGTTGAAGGAACATCTCTGACCTTGATGTTAGAGTTGAACATGTGTTCAAACTGCTCCGGTGTCATGGTGGGTACACTGTGGACCATATCCAGCAGAGCTCGCCCCACAGTATTGTCAGGCGCCTTACGATTAGCCAACACATCGTCCACATACGCCAGCACATGGTCTAGCAGCGACGTCAGCTTCTGGGATGCCTCCGCGATCAATGCCAAGTCTGTCATCGGCTCCACACTCTGTAAATAAAATGCCATATTTATACAAAACACTTTCTTAAGAGAATCAAGGCAAGCTCTAAACACAAAGAAAAATGTCATACAGTGGACTCGTGATAGTTCAAAATTGGTAGGCCAAGTAAATAAATTAAAAATATTAAGAGGTTCTATTTATTGGGGGGAAAATTAAACATTTGAATTACAAACAGTTCAAATTTGATCTTTGCAATTACCACTGTATTATCATGTAAGGTGCCGGTACAGAACTTTACAATTAAAAAACTTATTTTGGTTACCTTACTCAAACACAGCTTATTTCTTTGTTAAGTTATTTTACAAATTATTTTATTTTTATTTTTTATTATTGTTTTATTTTTAAAATTTTTTTAATTTTGTATGAATTTTGCTATTAATTTTTGTGTCATCAATGACATTATTTAATACTAACTACTACTGTGCGAACAGGATGTATAGTTTCTTGTTATGACAGGAAGGAATCCCTCCCTTTGAATTATAGTGATTTTTGCCAACAAAACTTTGAATTACTGTGCGTTTCAAATCGGCCTGCCCTCTGCTAGGACTTTGAATACCGAGGGTATCAAAATGCATGGTAAAACTTCAAAATATTAAGAGATTCTCTACGGACTGATTTTAAATTATTCAAATTATTGATTTATTCAGTGTTTGAATTACTAAGAGTAGACTGTATTAAAGACTGTAATTTTTTTATTATGTTGGGTCATTAAAAGTTATTACAACAACTTGGTTCAATATACCAAATGAGCAATGGTTCTGTAAGTGACCCTTGGAAGCATGGTGAAAAATATACCAAACAACACAATGATGGGACTCTTACAGCATGTGAACTGGATCTATTTTGCTGCAAGCTGAGCACACTCTTAATTCATATCCATTGCTTGACATCAAACTCATGGACGAAATTCACGATGGTAAGGTTTTCCTATAATTATTTGTGACCGAAAGATATGACGATGATGGCCACACCTCTGCAGGAGACGTTCAGGATTTAGCCTCAATTACAGGAGACAATGATAATGTTTCTGTGACTGATGAAGATATTCAGTATTTTGCCGCTGTAGCGGGAGACGATCATGGCATTTCTGTCACCAAAGGAGATAGGCTAGGCACTTCTCAGAATTTTACTGTCATCAAGAAAGACGATAATGATGTTTTTATGACCTCAGGAACGATATTACCTTGATTACGGATTAAAGTCAGTGTAACATTGTAATTGTTGCAAATTACAAAAAATATGATATAGTGTACCAAATTTAATACTGCTTTTTATTTGTGACCATATACGAGATGCAAAACACAGACATATCTTATGCTTGTTTGTTGCGAAATAATCAGATAATTTTAAATCAATTGTTAACATAAGCTTCCAGCGTAAATACATAAGCCAACGTTGAAAGTATAAAGAGGTGATGGCACTTAAATTTGCTGAAAATATAAATATATTTCTGCTTCAATAAATGTTCTTTCTAACTGTTATTTTGATCACAAAATATTTCCATACATATTATAAAAATATGGTAATAACTTTTATGCTAATTTTGTGGTAAGTTCACTTCAATTTAAAAAATTTCCAAAACCATTAAAGCTATTAGATATATTGTTATTTATTATTTTAACATTTAAGCCCTACTTGTCCATTTATGACCGCACCTTATCTGACAGGGCAGGCCGAGACCATGAAGCACTTCATCCAAAAATTGAATTATTGCGCACCCCAGACAATTATTGTTTCCTTGATAGACTTTACAAATTCAGGCATCCGATGAAAGCCTGTAGTTTCCCAATAATTAGTTCCTCCTCGGGAATATATCTACCTCTTGCCACATTGCCAAGAGTTGTCCTTCTAGCACCAGAGAGCTCATCACAATCAAAGAGCAGGTGATTGGCTGTCTCCTCTGACCTATCACAGTGCCTACAGATAGGTTCACCATCAAATAAGCCCATCCATTGTCTGAATCGACCGTGGCCAGTTATCAGTTCTAACATTAATTTGATTCTTCGCCTGTCTAGTCTCAAGAGGTCAGAGGCAACCCTTTTGAAGGCCTAAACAGAGTAAGCTTGGTGACCCTAAGAAGGGGAGTATCAACCCATCGTTAGCGGTGCATTTCGTTGGCCCATGACGCAATCGAAGAACGTGCACTTTTTAGTGAAATGTCATAGAAGGGTTGTGGGCCAATCATTGTTGTCGCAGAGGCGGCATTTGCCAGTCTATCTGCGGCTTCATTTCCTTTAATGCCTGAGTGTCCAGGCACCCAGCAAGAGCGTAAGATAATGCCTCCTACCCAACTCAGACACAGAAGCAAGACAATCCCACACAAGCCTTGAGTTGAATTCGTAAGAGTTGAGTGCCTTTAAGGTGGCTTGACTATCAGAGTAGATGTTAATTGTCTTGTCTCTAATCTTTGTTAAAATGTTCTCGAGCACAAACCAAGATAGCAGTGACCTCCGCTTGAAAAACAGTTGGGTACACCCCCATGGCAAGACAAATATGGGTGCCTTCTTTTTTTCAATGCACACCTGCTCCAGTGCCCCCATTTTTGATCTTAGAACAATTTCCGTTTAGACCGCACCAATTTTAAGAGAACATCGCAAAAAAAATAAATAAAATGAGGTGAGATTATTTTTGTATAAACTTAGTTCCTCTTTTCATCTACCGTACTAAAAAAATCACAATTATTAACTCTACATCATAACATTAAATTGCATTTTTTTTAGGTTTTTGAATGATTAGGCCTATCTTGTTTTATGTAACTACGTAAAACTCATGAAAATCTTTTTTAAGAAAGCTCGGCTCGGCCTTGGCTCGATCAAAAATCTCAGGCTCGCACACCTCTAATACAAAACATTAACTCGAGAACAAAGGCAACAAAATAAGGTAGGCCTAATAAATTTAAAATTGTATTTTACACAGTGTATATTTTACTAGGGCCTAATAGATATGTAATTTACTGATAGATTAATATAGGCTACCTTCTTTGATCCAACTCCTAGGGTTTTCTGGCATAGCTTGATCCCTACAACTTCTGGCTCGTAGCACAAGACATCCACAGGAACTGGGGTGAACATGTTTCCAGACTTGCCCCCAGGGACACCAATGGAAACACTGTCAAAACAGTTTAATGCAAACATAAGAATATGAACAAATTTACAAGTCACCACAAACAGCCACAAATCAGGACAAATTTAAATATACAAAAGTAAGAGACTCTAAGTAAACTACAGTTGGTTAGCAAGTTTGACCAAGTAAACTGATAGCTTTCTTAACCACATTGTAGGCTAACAATAATGCCACCATTGGTTGAAAAATGGGCCAGTCAACTTGCAAAGACTTAACTGTACTTCATAACATCCATTCTGCCTTCTGCTACTTCATAGTCTTAAACTCAATGTCTTGTATATTTGAATTCATTATGATTTGTGATATATGTTTGTTTGTGGCGACTTTCATTCAAAGCCAGATCAGGATGGTAAATAGACTGTTCTACTGAGTGAAAAACACTAAATTCTTACACAAACAGTTCATCCTAGCTTGCATAGTCTGACCACAGGCCAACAACCTAGCTCGCATACCCTCTACTAAACTAACAGTCCTGACATAAAGCTTCTGTTAAAAATACCTTTGGGTAGTTTGTATGATTCACTTACTTGAGGTATGCTTTGATCCCCATGTGACCTCCACTTAAGGTAGTGTCCAGTGTCATGTGAACTGGGTTCGAACATTCTCTCGCGTAATAATCATGGATGACAACCGAGTGACTGGTGACCTCGTTTCCCGTTGCCCACCAACCTACAATGGTCTCCATCTTGTTCACCTTCTGATTCATCTCGTACATGTCGCTAGCGTAAGTCAGCTCTGCCTCCACCTAAATAAGAAAGGTTGGTTTCAGTTGATTTGTACGTTAAAGATCTGCAAATTATACAATTAATTTTAGTGTTGGAGACCATTAGATGTAGCCTATTGAGATTTTTTTTTTTTTTTTAACCTTATAGGCTATGAAATGATGAAAGATTTTAGTTAGAAATAATAAAATCAAAATTATCAAAAAATCATCTCTCTCTGGTTTGATTCATGGCAGTCTGAACAATAAACGAATCATCACCTGTCTAAATAAATCACAGGCCAGGCAGAGGGACTTCTTGTAATGTCCGAAGGGGTCCAAACGAGATCCTGGAGTCGACACTATATCTTCCTGGACTAGCATTAAAATTTACTGATACCGCTAATCTTGTATTTGGTTATTTGTATGCAATCGTAACAGATAGGCACTATGTATGATACATGCACTATTCCGGAATTTTGTATAATTTGCATAATCAGTGTTATAGTTTAAGTTAAGGGTAAATGCAGATTGAAATTAGATTTTCAGGTTGATAAAAGCTACATAGGCCTAGTTAATAAGTAGTTATTTACCAATTCTTCGTGCTCCTTGTGAGGAACGCAGAAACAGTTGGTCACTTCTACAACGCCTTTGTCAGCGGAGCCTGAAATATAAGTTTATTTATTTGTTTTAACCTTAAGTTAAGAGGATTAAGCCTACCTTGTATAGCCAACCTTCTTTTTTATCAAAACTTTTTATTGCATTTCCAAATTTTTGAAGGAGAGATCACCCATAATATCATTAAGTGCTTCTGTTCTAATTATTTTCTTGCTTGATTTTTTTTATATTTAGGCCTAGTAATTTTAAAAGTTGAATTTAAAAAAAGTTAAATTTAGTAAGAGTTCAAAATTTTACAAAGGTATATGGACTAAGTTAATCATTTTCCATACCTAGCCTATTTTGAGCAAAAATCAAAAATCAAATCGCTAAACTCAAATTGTGCAAGAATTTAAAATTAAACGAACTGTTGTAAGAAAGACTTAGTAAACCAAAAGTATGGCTTTTATTCATTCAAAATTACAACCATGTTTTAGTTAAGAACAAATACAATATTTACAAACAAATCAAATAATAAATATTATCAGGTGATAATGTTCACATCACCACATTCTCCCCCACTAGTTTTCAAGGTAGGTATAGCATACGTAATCCTTTAGATATGACGGAGGCTTGACATTCCTCTTTGGACGTAGTTCCCCCACAGCCGTCTCTGAAGTTGGGGTCTGAGATACCGTTTGTTGAGTTTCATTTTGAACTTCATTGTGGTCAATGTCTGAATCTATATTTTCAACAATCTCTCTCTCAGTAGTGTTGTCTTCATGAGGTAGATCATCAGGAGGTAGGCCAGCGGGTGCAAGATGTCTCAGGGATACTTGTGATTCTGACCCATCTCTTCATCTGACGAGAGCGTACTGTGGATTTGATTCCAAAAGTTGAACTGGCTCCACAAGGTCATCATATTTATTAGATCTTACAAACTTTCTAAGCAGGACAGGACCAGGAGCGGATAGCCAAGATGGTAAGGAGTCTCCATTGGTAGATCTTCTGCTATGTATAAAGAATCTTTCGTGCGGTGTGCAGTTTGTCGCAGTGCATAAAAGAGATCTGACTGAGTGAAGTGCCTCCTGTAATACTTCTTCCCATGCAGCAACTGGCAGGTTGTGGTTTTTCAAAGCTAGTAGGATGGTTCGCCATATTGTTCCATTGAAGCGTTCAATCTGAGAGTTCCCTCTAGGGTTATAAGGTGTCGTATGACTTGTAGCTACTCCGTACTTGTGAAGAAAGTCCGTCAGCTCTCGCGACATGAAAGATGAACCTCTATCTGAATGTACAAAGGACGGGGCTCCAAACATAAAAAATAGATCTGAAAAACATCTGATAACTGTTGCTGAACTAATGTCCTTACAGGGGTAAGCAAATACAAAACGAGAATACTCGTCCACCATGGTTAAAAGGTAACGGTTTCTGGTTGTTGATGGAAGAGGGCCCTTGAAGTCAATATTTAGACGTTCGAAGGGAGTGGTTGCCTTTATCAATTTGCCTTGGAATTGGTGAAATCTTGGCTTCACTTCTGCACATGTTTGACAAGCTGACGTCATCCTTTTTACATCATCCAGAGTGTAGTTTAGATTTTTAGTTTTAATCCAATGAAACATTCGAGTGACTCCCGGATGGCAGAGAGATTTGTGTAATTCAAACAACTTAGCATTGTCCCAGCGAACCGCACATGCCCGAGAGAGCGTATCTGCTTTTACATTCTCCCTACCAGGTCGGTACACTATTTCATATTGATAAGGTGTTAGCTCTAGTCGCCATCTCATAACTTTATCGTTCTTGATTTTGCTTGTATGCCTCTTGTCAAAGATAAATGATAAAGCTTGCTGATCCGTGTATAATCTGAAGTCTCTTCCGATAAGAAATGATTTCCATTTTCGAAGGGCTTCGACAATGGCAACGGCTTCTTTTTCAACAGCTGAATACAGCTTCTCAGATTTGTTTAGAGTCCGTGAGAAAAAAGCAATTGGCCGATTATCTTGACTCAAAGTTGCTGCCACGGCTATGTCAGATGCGTCAGTCTCCACTACCAGTGGCTCTTGCCCATTCCTAGGAGTAATTACTGAGTTTGCAATGTCAAGTTTGAGGGCTTCAAAATCTGCAACCGCTTCCTGTGACAAAGGAAAAGAATTGACTTGTGTCAGGTTTCTTATTTTATCAGAAAACCGATGTATCCATTTTGAATAGTGAGCGAAAAATCCTAGGACTCGCTTTAGTGAAACTTGGTCTTTGGGCACAGGAAGTGACAGTAGAGATTCTAGCCGATCTGGATCAGGTCGAATAGAGTTATGGGAAACTAAATGTCCCAACAAGGTTATTGAAGACTGGTTGAACTTGCTCTTTTCGTTGTTGATTACAAGTCCATACTTAGTTACAGCATCTAAAAATGTTCTTAGATTCTCATCATGATCCTTTTGATCCTTTCCACATACGGTCAAATCATCCAGATAGGCATACACTCCATTCAGTTTTTCTTTTCTAATGATTTGGTCCATGGTCTTTTGAAAACATGCCACCCCGTTGGTTACGCCAAATGGGATTCTTCTGAATTGAAAAAGACGACCAGCAGCCTCAAAAGCAGTGTACTTCTTCTCTTCGTCAGAAATTGGTATTTGATAGTATGCTTGCTTTAGATCAATGGCACTAAAAACCTTGTTCGTCGCTACAGTGGATACTAGATCATCTATGTTTGGTAAGGGATAGGCGTCTAACAGAGTAAATTTGTTTATCGTTTGCGAATAGTCCACACACAGTCGCTTCTTCCCTTTGTCGTTTGTAACAACCAACACTTGTGCACGCCAAGGTGACGAACTAGGTTCAATGATCTCCTCAGTCTGTAGTCTTTCCATTTCTTGTTTTATAAATTGCATATCTTCATCTGAGTAACGTCGTGATTTTGTGGCTATTGGCTTACAATCTGGAGTTAAATTGCAGAATAGTTTGGGTGGTTCAACTTTGGCACAGGAGCACACCAACAGAGGAGGTTTCTTACCTCCAAACCAAACCTGTATATTTGAGTGGAGTTTCATGATATCATGTCCGATAAGCACGTCAGTACAAAGATCTTCAAGAACAGTCAACTTGAAATTGTTGTAATTGTGATTCAACAGATTTAGGTTGATTTTAACAAACCCGTGGACGTTTGATTTCATATTAGAAGCAGCTAGTGATACTTGTCCACTTTCATTATACATTTTAATTTTGTTTAACTGAACAAACTTCAAGTTTACAAAGCTTGATGTACTCCCGGTGTCTATTAAGCAATTTGCTTTCAGGCCATTCACTTTAGCTTCAACTGTAGAGTCCTTCAATACAGATGTATTATGTGTAGTTGCTATTAGTGCAGCTGATGTACTAGACGTCTTCTGTTTTACTTTAAAATGTTGAATTGGATTACTTTTACAGACTCTCGCATAATGCCCTGTCTTGTTACATTTCCCACAAGTTGCTTCTCTGGCTGGACAGCGATCTCTAGAGTGTCTATCATGCCCACAAAAATAACACTTGCCATCAACATTTTTAATAGCGGAAACAGTCGCTTCTTCCTTTTGTTGTAGTGGGAATTCGTACTGACAAGCTTGCTTTGCCAATTCATTCGTTGCACAAGTTTGCATTCCGTACATAGATTTTGGATAGCTCTCGACTTGAGCTTGAGCCATTTCAAGAGCTCTAGACTGTTCCACTGCTTCAGCTAGGTCTAAAGTTTTATTTTCAAATAGTCTCTGTCGTATGTATGACGAGGCTAAGCCATTGATAAAAGCATCACGAATGTAATGATCCCTGTATTGAATCGCATTAACAGCTTCAAAAACGCAATCTTGGCTCAAAAGTTTCAGTTCCGACACATATTTGTCAATAGTCTCACCTTGTTGCTGTTTTCTAGTCATTACTAAATATCTTGAGAATATTTCATTCTTTTGTTTGATGTAAATTGAGTTAAGAACTCTCAAAGCGTCTTGGTAAGTTTCAGATTCCTTGATAAATTTATAAGTAGTAAAAGATAATCGATTAGTTAGTAGTTTCAGTTTCTCCTTGTCTTCAACGAATTCTGTCATGGTTAGAAAGTCTTCGAATGTTTGTAACCAGTGCGTCCATTCCTCTGAGGCAGTTGGAGATTCCGGGTCAATTTGCAATTTGTCTGGTCTAAGGAATTTCTCCATTGTAATGTAGCACTAACTGAGTTTATCAATGAATGAATAAAATTGTTGTAAGAAAGACTTAGTAAACCAAAAGTATGGCTTTTATTCATTCAAAATTACAACCATGTTTTAGTTAAGAACAAATACAATATTTACAAACAAATCAAATAATAAATATTATCAGGTGATAATGTTCACATCACCACACGAACTTTAAAAGGGACTAAGAAATAATTCTCATTCCTGAGGTCTACTGTTTGATTTAAGCTGTTAAACAGGCGCTAAGTACATTATCGAAAATTGGAAGCCAAAAAAAAGTGAAAACCCCATCTTTGTTAGCTAACCTTATAGTAAGCTATGCCTGACAATAAAACATTTGATAAGTTGCAAACAATTTTACACCAATGTAGGATTTTTAACTAAGTTAACTTATGCAAGGTAATAACTTGGGTAGCATAATATCGTAGGCTATCAGGCTATGGTTAATTTTTCAGCCCAACAAGTCATTGAAAAGAAACTCTAAGAGTTATATGTAATTTATTCTTATCTGTGTCTGAAGGCAATACGTTTAACATTATTAAGTTATCACACCAAATGAAATATATATTAAATATATATATAGAGGACACTTTAACGCACACGACAGTATCAAGGTCAAAAAGTTGGTAGCCTAATGCAAAAGCGGCGTAAAATGGACAACCAGTCAAGTTCAAATCTGTTGTTGGCCGTCTTGCGGAAAAATACGGTCGCGTATTGTACATTTATACCAATAATGTCACGAGATACAAGTACATTTTAACGCACACGACAGTATCAAGGTCATATAGCTTACCTGGCAAAAAAGTTGGTCATACAAAAGGGGTGCTAAAAATAACCCGCCCTATGTCAAATTTACGTGCGATACTCATCTAGGGTTAACTCATTGCAGCATAGTTTTACAACTACGGTTGAGCGAATTTTCCTGCATAGTGTTAAATTTTTTCCTAGACCTAGACATTGCATATTGTCACAGAAAATATAACGACAATTATTTTTATAGGTTACATGTTAAAGTATTTAAATTTATAAAGATGGATGGGAGTCGTGCACTAAAGTAGACTCCCCTAAATTTATGAATGATACCTGGAAATTAGGCCTATGTTTATCAATTTGGTGTCATAAATGAACTATAATAACAAATTAACTTAGTTTTGAAAATCACATTCCAACTTGGTAATAGGCTAATTGTCTAGGCCAACTTAAAGAGGCCTGATGTCTGACTCCATCATATTGCCGAATACAAAAGTATCGATACCATTACCATCAAAACCTAACTTCTAGGACAACTTAATGGTAATGGTATCGATACTTTTGTATTTGGTAATATGATGGAGTCAGACATCAGGCCTCTTTATGTTGGCCTAGACAATTATTACCAAGTTGGAATGTGATTTTCAAAACTAAGTTAATTTGTTATTATAGTTCATTTATGACACCAAATTGATAAACATAGGCCTAATTTCCAGGTATCGTTCATAAATTTAGGGGAGTCTACTTTAGTGCACGACTCCCATCCATCTTTATAAATTTAAATACTTTTGCATGTAACCTATAAATATAATTGTCGTTATATTTTCTGTGACACTATGCAATACCGGTAGTCTTGTCTAGGTCTAGGAAAAAATTTAACACTATGCAGCAAAATTCGCTCAACCGTAGTTGTAAAACTATGCTGCAATGAGTTAACCCTAGATGAGTATCGCACGTAAATTTGACATAGGGCGGGTTATTTTTAGCACCCCTTTTGTATGACCAACTTTTTTGCCAGGTAAGTCAAAGGCTATGTCAAATTTACGTATTGATACCCTTAGCGTCATGGTATATGACGATAGCTTTCTAGGGTTAATAATCCTGAGTTACCTAGAAATTATATTTTAGGCTACAGTGCACAAGAATAATAACTGGGCCCTACTCACTTGGCATTGATAGAAACTATAGATAATAGTGATGTTACTATTCAGGGAAGTTACACTATACTATAAGGCTGTTTAGCCCTTTGGAACCCCGTCATGCTATATGACGATATTTAAACATCTTTGCTACCAATACTGTAGACTGATATTCGAATATAATAGGTTACGTACCTTGGTCCGTCTTCAGTCTTATTTTTAGTCTATGGATGACTATAAATAACTAAGTAGGCCCTACCTATATGTGTTGTTGACCTGTATTTATATAATGATGAAGACTTCTGTCGGATTTTTTACCATCTTCTACACGATGTTTTAAAGGATTTGATAATGGGTCTTTGTACCCGAAATTAGTCATCCATAGACTAAAAATAAGACTGAAGACGGACCAAGGTACGTAACCTATTATTTATATTATGATACCTTTCTACTGTTAATAGCCTACTTAATCCTAAGTTATCTAGAAATCATATTTGACAGTAGACAGTGCAAAAGAATAATAACCGGGGCCTACTCGTTTGGCATTGATAGAAACTATAGATAATAGTGATGTTGCTATTCAGGGCAGTTACACTATACTATAAGGCTGTTTAGCCCCTTGGAACCCATAACTTAGGTTGGCATCTGGAATGCCAATGCTTACCCATGAGAGTTCCAATGACACGATGTGCGTCTCCATTTCTTCTTTCATAAGCATCCACTATTTGAAATAAAACAACAGGATGAACACGAACCATCAAATTCAATGCCATTGTTCTTAGATTAAGAAAACTGCAAACAAAATTAGTAATAATAATACGGTGTTGCACCTAACCTATACAGGAGAAACGAGCTATGTGACAGCGCCGACAGCGGTCAGGGAGCGAGGGAGCGAAGCGAGACAGTCTGAAGACGAAGAGAAGAAGAAACTGAAGAAAGAATGAAACAATGACGACGAGACTGAGACGACTGACTGGACTGAGTGACTGGCCGACTGGCCACAGAAACCGAGACCGACGACACGACCCGACAGTCGGAAACGAGTCCACTTTTTTTACGACTTCAACTCTTTGACTACACGATAAACTTTTTCTCATTTTGGGCTGTCAAATAAGGCTTAACATAACTAGCTAGCTTTGATGTTATCTCATTTGTCATTAATTATGAAACACCACTGCGTTACGGTTTCACAATCACTACTCTCTGGTTGAACATTAGAGAAAAACGTGCCACTGTTTTTGCTAGTTTGTTTTCGATGTTTCATGTTGTTAGGTAGGCCATGTGATCGGTCGGTGGGATGCTGTCAATTTCAATTCATTCCAACAATGCTATTTATTTGGGGTTATCCGTTATTTCGTGGACTCATATAAAAAAACTTATTTAAGTTATTGCACGTTAAAACCTGTGTATATAAATTTATTTTGAAACATTATCTATTGTTTTTTATAGTAAATACATACTAACTCTTTTCAAGCTATGGAATGGTGAAAATAGTCAAGTTTCCTGGTTTGGAGATATATTGGTATAGTCTTGGGTTTAGCCTAGCCAATACATATATGGTTTAGCCCCATGGCTCTTGATTAACATCGGTTTAGGATCTTGTTAATAATGGGTTGCTCGTAAAATAAACTTTTATTGAAATCATAATGTTGACATATTTTTGTTTACTTTTAATACTTTCTTATTAAATGGCGACCATACAAAGTAAGTGTTTTAAGCCAAGTATGAATGTAGATGAGTGTAGGGTGAGTGGCGCGATCTTGTAGTCTTGTTAGTGACCAAGGCCGACATTCCTTAAACACACCTGTTAATTAATAGCGCATAATGGCAACTAAGGGACCTACAGTTTATTGTGGAATCCGAACCACATTTTTCCTTGGTATATACGAATTAATTGGTCTAATTATCAGGATAGTACTGCGGTTTACTTTCAACAAAACAACAGGATGGCGCTATCTTCATCTTGTCTCTAATTTGACGAGTCCCATCAATCAATCACACGGCCAACCTAACAACACGAAACTCTTAAAAACATCCAGCAAAAACAGTGGTACGTTTTTTTAACACAAAGTTTTTACTCCAGCTATTATTTTAGCTCATTGGAATGTATGCGTTTGAACCATGGCCACCAACTCCAGGCCGTGGTCTTGGAGAACTGGCAACGTCGCAAGTAGGGTTTATTCACGGCCGCCTTTAACTACAGGCCGCGGCCTGGTAGAATTGGCAACGTAGCAAGTGGTGTTGTTCAGAGACAGACGTCCCATAAGATAACATGGCAGACAGGTGACATCAGCTCATTAATTCGCACTTTATTCATTTAAATTTCAATTTATGAATATAAATTTATTAAAAAATTGAAAATAAAATATACAGAATTAATTGAAAACCGAAACAATATGAATTAAAATCTATATCTGGACATTTTTTAAAGGAGTCAATATTGTCATAGTCCAATAACCAATCTTTCGTAAATACACAAATGCCATTAGCTGCTTCCAAACAAAAACAGCTGTTAAAACACCAATTGCGACGTAGCCAGTTCGAAGGCCACGGCCTGTAGTTAAAGGCGGCCGTGGTTGATTAGTGTCAGGCTCAGACGTCCAATAAAGATAACATGGCAGACAGGTGACATCAGTTCATTAATTTGCACTTAATTGATTTTAATTTATGGACAAAAATTTATTAAAATATTGAAAATAAAACATACAGAATTGAAAACCAAAACATGAATTGAAATTCTACATCTTTACACTTAAAGCGGAGTCACAGTCAACATTTTCATAGTCCAGTAACCAAGCTTTCGTAAATAAACAAATACCATTAGCTGCATCCAAACAAAACAGCTGTTACAACACTACTTGCGACGTTGCCCCTATTGCATTGCCACATCTGTACTGCAGTTGGAGTACTCCAGTCACTTAAGACCTTTCAGAAAAATCGCTTCATTATAGCAATGTAAATAGTTATTTGTGCAACTAGTGAGAAAAGTGAGCAATTGACTCACTCGAGAGAAATCCTTACTCACGAGCCGTAGGCGAGTGAGGAATGGTTTCTCGAGTGAGGCAATTGTACTTTGAACTCGAGTTGCACATTATACTTTTCCTACAGTTACCATAAAACAAATAAATTTGTGAAGAAACATAACCTATTTTTACACAGAAGATATCTTTTAATATAACATTTAATGTGAAGTGACAAAATACAACAGTACAACAGCTGACCAGCTGAATTACAGCCAGTGCTGCCAACGTATTTCGCGCGCATACGACGTAGCCTGCATGTTACGCGCTCACTATTTCGTGCCTCCACGTTGCAAATCTGGAGTGAGACAAAGTAATTAGAGTGAGACAATGTTAACATTGTCTCACTGATGAGCGAATTGGCCACTTTGCTTTCTCAAATCAGCGAGAGAACATGTACATTGTTAGGTAACTGTAGGAAAAATATTTTTTTCAAATTTTCGTCTTTTACCTAGGCCATTTTACAGTAGTTCCACTTTATGTATCTCCATAAAAATACCAAAAACTATAGTTTGTACCCACACAACACAAGAACACCTTGGAATGTCCTGGGGATATCCTCTGTATATCCCGCAATGTCCTCAGGATATCCTGGGAAACTCCCTGGGATATCCCTATGTCCACCCAAATCCTGATCCCTGGAATATCCCATCAGGATATTATACATAAAAAAACAAAATAATAAATATTTAGTCTGAAAAGCACTTTTGCCAGTCAAGTATTTTAATTAAATCCTACTAATATTATAAATGAGAAAGTTTGGATGTATGGATATATGGATGTATGGATGTATGTTTGTGACAAGTGAACGCGAAAAATACTGGTCGGATTGGGCTGAAATTTGGCATGATGATAGCTGACATTCCCGATTAACATATAGGCATATTCTTATTTCAAAAATCCTTTCGGGCTCCGCCCCAGTGGCTCTGGAGTTTCCCATGTTAACCTAATGAGAAATGGAATTATTGAATCTTAACAGCTGTTTCAATTAAACAAGTTGGTCCTGTTCTATGATGTTCAATAGCATTAAAGTTACAAGGATTACCAACAGGGTGCAGCACTATTATTTCTGTTACATTTATGACAACAGCTAATTTGCAACCAAAAGGTGAGTGAGCGTAGCGAACGAACTTCAACCTGGAGGCGAGTTAGCGAAGCGAACGAGCTAAACTGAAGGCAAGTGAGCGCAGCGAACGAGCTAAACTGAAGGCAAGTGAGCGCAGCGAACGAGCTCCAACCTAAAGGTGAGTGAGCGTAGCGAACAAGCTCCAACCTAAAGGTGAGTGAGCGTAGCGAACAAACTTCAACAAGGACGTGATTGAGCCATGCGAACGAGATAATCTTGAAAATTAAGAAGTTAAACGGGGCAAAGCCCGTGGGTTACAGCTAGTAGCTCATAAAAACAAATTTTGGGAAAAAATAGAAACAAAAATATTTTTGCCCAGTCAAAAAGAACCGGGTACCTTTGACTTATGAAACTCTTATCTTATCATCTGAGCTATTTGTGACTGTTGATATTACTAGTTTTCAAGTGGTTAAAGAGGAGCCGACAGCTGAAATGGTCGCAATACTTAAAAATATTTTTGATACTATGATTCTGTTTAGGCATCAAGTTGTTAAATTGTTTTTCTGGGAGTTGTAGAGGATCGATACTTTAATAAGAATATAGATTATAATTGTTATATGATTAATTAATATTTCCCCTTAAATTTTCAACCAATAAATTTTCTCAAATAACTTAGAATTTAAATTAGAAAGAAAATATTTGCATTATTATTATTATTGTAAGCAGGTGTATTATTATTATTATAAAATGGTAAAAATTTAGAGTTTGATAGTTATTATGCCCCACGGGGAATATCCTACGGATCTCCAAAGGATGTCCTATGGATATGATCGAAAAACATGATTAATTTTTATAAATCATTAGTAACGTTATTAGTTATTTTAATTCAAAAGAGTATTGAAAACCTTTTTAATAACGTTTCTCAAGCACTTGTCACTTGAAAAAATACATCCAATACTATAAAATATGTTTTAATATAGGTAGCCTATCGAGAATATCCATAGGAAGTCCCCAGGATATCCTCAAAATGCATTCGTTTGTGTTGGATATGTGCAATATCCTAGAGTGATCCCAGGGACATTCTCAAATCCTGGGATCTATGTGGGATATGGTCAGGATCCTGTGCTGTGTGGGAAAGCTGTATTCGGTAGCATATTTCGAGAAGTACCGGTACTTACTTGAGTTATTAATGGATTTTACAAATAAATTATGAAAAAAGGATATTGTGGATATTCTAGGGATATGCCAAAGATATTCCTGTCCCTCGATCAAAAACCCTCAAAAAATTAGATTAATTATTGTAACGGGAATATGCCAGGAATATTCCTATATCTCATGGGATATTGGGACGTTTTGGGAACTCTGTGGGATATCCTGTGCTATGTGGGTAGTCATGCTATGTTGTTTTTAGGAAAACCACTTAATATTTATACTATCCACCAACAATGTAAGTTAAAGGACACTTTTTCCCTTTTAAAAATTATACTGGATTTAAACTTAACTTAAAAACAAACACCTCATATTCCTATTAGTGTAAATGGTAAAAAGTAATAAGGTACCATTAAAGCAACCAATGATATGGTCTACCAGCCTTTGATGCTTGGTAGTGGGATAGAAATTAAAATCAATGTTAAAGCAATAAAATATTGAAGTAAGGGTTGTTTTCCCTATTAGACAGCGTGATGTGGCCACTGAACATATCTCGTCACCGCTGTAGTTTCACAGCCATGTTAACAATGGTATTCTGATTCTCATTTGGGGTAATATTTCCACATGCTGTAGAATATATATTTACACACCAGAAATAGGCTTT